TGGCCTCACAAGCAACATCCATGTCCTATGAAAAGAATAAAAATGCTCATAGTCTTTTACAGCTTTGTCTCAGCTACCTGTGCAGTTTTGTGTAACTGTGTCTACGTCTCTATCTATAGCTTTGTGTAACGGTGTCTGACTCTCTGGAGTAGTCCTCAGGTGAAAGTACTAAGTTGGGGGAAGGCTAATTACCACAATGTTAGACAGGAGCGGGGAATGTAGATTGGGGGCTGCTGTTTGAGGGTAAATCCACATCTGGCATGTGGGAATCTTTTAAAGGCCAGTTGATTAGAGTTCAGGACCAGTGTGTTCCTTGAAATTGAAGGATAAGGAACCTTGGATGACAAGAGAAATTGAGAGCTTAGTCAAAAAGAAAAAGGTTTAGGATTCTGAAGGCAGGCAGAGCCCTTGAAGAACAATAAGAAAGCAGGAAAAAAAAAGTTGCTGGAAAAGCTCAGCAGGACTGGCAACATCTGTGAAGGAATAAACAAAGTTAACGTCTTAGGTCCGGTTGAGGAAGGGTCACCGGACCCAAAACATTAACTTTGTTTATTCCTTCACAGATGCTGCCAGACCTGCTGAGCTTTTCCAGCAACTTTGTTTTTTTTATCTGATTTACAGCATCCACAGTTCTTTCGGTTTTTATTAAGAAAGCATGAAAACCTGAAACGAGGAATTAGAGGAGCTACAAAGGGCTATGAAATAATTTCAGCAAACGGGATTAAGGAAAATCCCAAGGCTATCCTTATATATAGGTACCGGAGGGAAAGGGTGGGTCCGGTCATGGACAAAAGAAGGAATTACTGCATAGAGTTACAGGAAATGGATGAGGTCCTTAAGGAATACTTTGCATTGAATTCACATAGAAGAAGGATATGGTGGTTGATGAATCTCAGGAGAGGGATGTTGAGGAAATTTCTGGGGTCTTGTACGAAATCTTTGTATCCTCTTTAGTCACAGGACAGGTCCCAGAGGACTGGAGAATAGCCAACATTGTTTGTTTGTTTAAGAAAAGCAAAAGGGTTGATACAGAAGGGGCAGTTGGTAAGATGGATACAGCGTAGTCACAGAAGGCAGGGAGAAATAGAACATAGAACATAGAACAGTACAGCACAGTACAGGCCCTTCAGCCCATGATGTTGAGCCGAGCTATTATCCTACTCTAATATCAAACTAACCTGCATACCCTTCATTTTACTATCATCCATGTGCCTATCCAAGAGTTGCTTAAATGTCCCTAATGTATCTGACTCTACTACCACCACTGGCAGTGCATTCCATCCACCCACCACTCTCTATGTAAAGAACTTACTTCTGACATCTCCCCTGTACCTTCCTCCAATCACCTTAAAATTATGCCCTCTCGTGATAGTAATTTCAGCTCTGAGAAAAAATCTCTGGCTATCCACTGTATCTATGCCTCTCATCATCTTGTACACCTCTATCAAGTCTCCTGTCATCCTTCTTCGCTCCAATGAGAAAAGTCCTAGCTCCCTCAACCGTTCCTCATAAGACCTGCCCTCCATTCCAGGCAGCATCCTGGTAAATCGCCTCTGCATCCTCTTTAAAGCTTCCACATCCTTCCTAAAATGAGGTCACCAGAACTGAACACAGTATTCCAAGTTTGGTCCACCCAGGGTGTTATAGAGCTGCAGCATAACCTCACGCCTCTTAAACCCAATTCCCCTGCCAATGAAAGTCAACACACCATACGCCTTCTTACCAACCCTATCAGCTTGGTGGCAACTTTGACAGATCTACGGACATGGATCCCAAGATCCCTCTGTTTCTCCACACTACCAAGAATCCTGCCATTAACCTTGTATTCTGCATTCAAATTCGTCCTTCCAAAATGAATCATTTCACACTTTTTCTGGTTGAATTCCATCTGTCACTTGTTTACCCAGCTCTGCATCCTGTCAATGTCCCATTGTAACCTACAACAACCCTCCACACTATTCGCAACTCCACCAACCTTTGTGTCATTGGCAAACTTACTAACCCACACTTCCACTTCCTCATCCAAGTCATTTATAAAGATCACAAAGAGCAGAGGTCCCAGAACATATCCCTGCAGAACACCACTGGTCGCTGAGCTCCAGGCTGAATACTTTCCATCTACTACCACCTATTGGACAGCCAATTCTATATCCAGACAGCCAAATTTCCCTGAACTCCATGCCTCCTTACTTTCTGAATGAGCCTACCATGGGGAACGTTATCAAATGCCTTGCTAAAATCCATATACACTATATCCACTGCTCTACCTTCATCAATGTGTTTTGTCACATCCTCAAAGAATTCAATAAGGTTTGTGAGGCATGATCTGCCCCTCACAAAGCTATGATGACTATCTCTAATTGAACTATGCTTTTCCAAATATTTATAAATACTATTTCTCAGAATCCTCTCCAAAAATTTACCCACCTCAGAAATAAGACTAACCGGTCTGTAATTCCCAGGGTTAGAACATAGAACATAGAACATAGAATAGCACTGCACAGTACAGGACCTTTGGCCCACGATGTTGTGCCGACCTTCTACCCTAATCCTAAGGTCTATCTAACCTCCACCCCTACCTTATTCTATCATCGATATGCCGATCTAATAGCTGCTTAAATGCTCCTAATGAGGCCGACTCCACTACCCTCTCTGGCAATGCATTCCATGCCCCGACCACTCTCTGAGTAAAGAACCTACCTCTGATGTCTCCCCTATGTCTACCTCCACTCACTTTAAAACTATGCCCTCTCATAATAGCTACCTCCACCTGAGGAAAAAGACTCTGGCTGTCTACTCTATCTATACCTCTGATCATTTTGTACGCCTCTATCAAGTTACCTCTCATCCTTCGTCGTTCTAAAGAGAAAAGCCTTAGCTCTCTCAACCTTTCCTCGTAAGACCTTCCCTCCATTCCAAGCAACATCCTGGTAAATCTCCTCTGCACCTTTCCCAATGCTTCCACATCTTTCCTGTAATGAGGTGACCAGAACTGGACACAATACTCCAGATGTGGCCGAACCAGGGTTTTGTATAGCTAGAGCATAACTTCACGGCTCTTGAACTCAATCCCTATATTAGTGAAAGTTGACACACCATACACCTTCTTAACAACTCTATCCACCTGGGTGGCAGCTTTCAGGGAACTGTGGACATGAACCCCGAGGTCCCTCTGCTCCTCCACACTGCCAAGAATCTTTCCGTTAACCCTGTATTCTGCTTTCAGGTTTGTCCTTCCAAAATGAATCACCTCACACTTTTCAGGGTTAAACTCCATCTGCCACTTCTCAGCCCAGCTCTGCATCCTATCAATGTCCCTTTGTAACCTAGAACAGCCTTCCGCACTATCCATAACTCAACCCACCTTCGTATCATGCATGAAGTTACTAATCCACCCTTCCACTCTTACATCCAAATCATTTACAAAAATCACAAAGAGGACCCAGAACAGATCCTTGTGGTACACCACTCACAACTGAACACCATGTTGAATATTTTCCATCCACTACCACCCTTTGCCTTCTAAGGTCAGCCAATTCTGGATCCAATCTGCCACATTTCCCCCTATCCCATGCCTCACTTACCCAGCAGTCCCTGTCCGGGTTTGCTCCTGTTCAGCCTTCCCTCTGCCTATTCACGAGGGAAGTATTTTATACAGAAACTTACCTTCCCGGCTGTCCCTCGCTCATGCTCTCATGACTCCCGCCACTGAATTAAAGACCGCTGTCTCATGAGGCCAGTATTTTATACAGTAACTTACCTTCCCGGCTGCCCCTTGCTCACACTGTCACAACTCCCACCGCTGAATTTGGTGGAAGGGTGTTTTTTCTGACTGGAGATCTGCAACCAGTGTTGTTTCTTAGAAATCAGTTCTGTGACCCCCGTTGTTTGTAATATACATAAATGATTTGGAGGAGAATGTAAGTGGCCTGATTAGTAAGTTTCCGAACGACACAAAGATTGGTGGAGTTGCAGATAGTGAGGAAGATTGCCAGAAGATACAGCAGGATATAGATAGGTTAGAGACTTGGGCAAAGAAATGGCAGGTGGAGTTTAATCTGGACAAATACGAGGTGATGCATTTTGGAAGATCTAATGAAGGAGGGAAGTGTACAGTAAATAGCAGAATCCTTAAAAGCATTAACATTCATATGGATCTAGGCATACAGGTGCACAGCTCCCTGAAAGTGGCAGTGGATAAAGTGGTCAAGAGACATATGGCATGCTTGCCTTTATTGGTTGGGGCATAGAGTATAAATATTGGCAAGTCATGTTGCAGCATGAGTTTAGAATTTTAGTGAGGTTACATTTGGAATATTGTGTGCAGTTTTGGTCTCCACACTCACAGATGTGGAGCTTTGGAGAGGGTACGGGTTACAAGGATGTTGCATGCTTTGGAGGGTATTAGCTATGAGGAGAGATTAACGCAACTGGTTTGTTTACACTTGCCTATCAAGGGGTGACCTGATAGAAGTTTACAAAATTATAACAGGCACAGAAAGAATGCCTAAGTTAGAGTCTTTTTCCTGGGGTAGAAACATCAATTACTAAGGGACGTAAGTTTAAGGTAAAAGGGGGTATGTTTAAAGGAAATGTGAGAGGCAGTTTTTTTTTTACACAAAGGGTGGTAAATGCTTGGAATGCACTGCCAGAGGAGGTAGTGAAAGTGGATACAATAGCAACATTTAAGAGGCATCTTGACACGTCTATAAATAGGCAGGCAATAGAGGGATACAGACCACATTGAGGCAGACGGTTTTTAGTTTAGAAAGGCATTGTGTATTGGTGCAGTCTCGTTGGGCTGAAGGGCCTGATCCTGTGCTGTATTATTTGTTCTTCATTTTCTGTCTATAGCTTTGTGTGACACACCCCTGGCTCTGTCTGTAGCTTTGTGTAAATGTGTCTCTGGCTCTGTCTATAGCTTTGTGTAACCGTGTCTGTGTGTTGCTTTTTCCTAGTCCTTGTGTATCTGTACACTTTTACTTCAAGCCACAAATGAATTAATTGCATCAAGTGTTCATTTTTAATAGCTTTTATCAAGACACTCGGATGTTAGGAGAATCTTAAACTAAACAAATGGAAGAGCAGTGAACAGATTTTGAATTAATTTTACTGAGTTGTGGCCTCATTGTGCTTTGTGAGTACAACTTCTCAATTTTGGACACACTGGACACTCCAATCAACCAGGGGATTAGATGTATTTCTGTTTCTTCAAAAAAAAAAGACAAGTGGCGAGCAGCAGGAGTCCTACGAGTGCCAAAAGTGAGAACCACAATGGAGATATTGGTTCCTGCATCCTCACCACACGAAGATGTCCCGGACCATCTGACTCGAGTTTTACCACCGTTTGTTTACGTCCAATGGATGAAAGGACAATGTTGACACCTCGCACCCCAAGGTCATCTTCCCACTTGATGACATTGGTAACGTTAAACACCTCATACGGTGGAATGAGCACTTCCTCTTCCCTACGAAAAAAAGAGAAGTTTTGGATGGCAACACCCAGGGATGTGGTGATGTTGAAGAGTGTGTTACTTCTTGATTCCTTGTCTGTGAATGTTGAGACTGACTGAAACATGTTCAGAGATGTTGAAGCAAATTGGCCAAAGCGGATATGTGCTCCTTCACTGACCAGAACCGCTCTATTTATTGTCCTGTAGACCTGTGTTCTTGGATCAGGACCCCAAGAACTGTTCTGCAATACATTCAGAGCTACAGACAAAAGATAGTGCAGACTTTTGTAATGGAAGCATTCAGAATACATTTTATCAGTGGCGCCATAGTTTCGAAGAGCCCTGTTGAAATAGCTGTAGAGCGGTGGGCTGTCTAGGGTGTAGCACAGGATTGCGATGACATGCTCTTCCAGGAGGCCAGCAGGTACTTTGAGTTCCTTTCTTCTGAGCTGCCATTCATGATTGGCTGTATGCCAGGCCTCCCCATAGTATGTTGCATTGTTCTTATGTTCTACCTTAGCATAGTCTATTGCAATCTTGTCCGATTCCAGGCTCTGTAAGAAGTAATAATCAGCGGAGCGTGTTGCCATGTCCATTTTGATATTGACTGCATTTTCTGAAATTTGGCACAGGGGCTCCATTGAAGGATTGGAAAAAGCATCAGTCCCTTCAAAAGAAAAAGCAACTATTTAAGAGTGCGATACAATAGATCACACCACATTCAAGTTAATTTCAACACAAGCCGCCTAGCCTATTGGATCTTATCTCCTTTGAATCCCAAAGCTTTTCTTAGTCATGACAGCTGCTCCTGGCTTTCATCACTTAGCCTAGTACCAGGAGATGGTGCTGGAGGAGTAACCTCACTGGGCTAGTAACTGCAAACGGGCAATGTCACTTGGCTAGTTACTGCAATGGAGTAATGTCACTTGGCTATTAGCTAAAAGGAATGGTATCACTTGGCTACTAACTTGCAATGGCGTAATCTCACTGGGCTAGAGTCAGCAAAGAGGTAATATCACTGGACTAGTAACTAGAAAGCATGAATGTCACTGGACTAGGATCTGCAAAGAGTTAATGACACTGGGCTGGTAAATGCAAAGGACTAAGATCAATAGTCAAGTAACTGCAAAGGAGTAATTTCACTGTGCAGGAAATATAAAGGCACACTGTCACGTGGGCAGTAATTGCAAAGGGGTCATGTCACTTCACTAGTAACTACAAAGAAGTACTATCACTGGACTAGTAACAGCAAAGGAGCAATGTTACTAGGCTAATCCCTACAAAGGAGTAATATCACTGGACTAGTAAGTGCAAAGGGGTAATGTCACTTCACTAGAAACTGTAAAGGTGTAATGTCACTAGGCTAGTAATTGCAAAGTGGTATTGTCGCTAAGCTTGTAACTGCAAAGGGGTAATATCACTGGGCTGCGTTCATAAAAAGAACAAGAATGGGAGAGCACAAATATAAATTGATTTAGGGGTGTCCCAGTGCTGGGGACCAGGGTTCTATTCCAGCCTTGGGTGACAGTATGGAGTTTGCAGATTCTCCCTGTGTCTGCATGGGTTTCCACCAGGTGCTCCAGTTTCCTCCGACAGTCCAAAGATGTGCAGGTTAGGTGGATTCACCATGTTAAATTGCCCCTTAGTGTACGGAGATGTGCAGTTATGTGGATTAGCCATGGTAAATGTGGGGTTACAGGGATTAAATGGGATGCTCTTTGGAGGGTTGGTGCAGACCCGATGGGCCAAATGTCTTTTTCCATATTGTGCTATGATTTGCATGGTTCTCGAACATCTTGCCTGCAAATGTGGTGGAGGCAGATTCAATTGAAGAATTCAAGAGGGGATTCGATAGTTATTTGAAGAAAAACGTGATGGTTATGGGAAAAAGGCAGGAGAATGGTACTAAGTCATAATGTTTCTATGAAGAACCAGTACAGAAAGTGGCTGAATGGCCTTCTACGATGTCGTAACAGTTCAAATAGATTGCACTTTTACAGTGTGTGGACAGATTGGTTAAAATGTTATCTTGATTCACTAAGCAGCGGAGAGCTCCACTGCCTCTTTTCAAGTCTGCAACATCCCTCCTAAAGTTTTCTGAAGAAAGGTCCAGACCCGAAATGCCAGCTTTCCTGCTCCTCTGATGCTGCCTGGCCTGCTGTGTTCATCCAGCTCTACACCTTGTTATCCTAAAGTGTGGTGCCCAGAATTCATTTCAATATTCCAGCAAAGAGCCTATCCAATGTTAGAATACTATCTAACTCCATGTGTCTGTTGCTAAACAGAAATTCATCCTAAGTAAGACAAAACATACTAAGGGGAGGATAAAGCAACCATAGCTGGCAAGAGAAGTCAGGTGCAGCATTAAAGCATAAGTAAAAGAAAAAAAAGTAAAGATTAGTGGGAAACCAGAAGATTGGAAAGCCTTGAAAAATCAGCAGAGGATAACTAAAAAAGCAATAAGGGTGGAGAAGATGAAATATGAGAATAAGCTAGCTAATAATATAAAAGAAGATTGCAAGAGATACTTTTTAGAGATATAACAGGTAAGAGAGAGGTAAGAGTGGAAATTAGACTGCTGGAAAATGAGCTTAGAGAAGTAGCAATTAAGAGCAAAGAAATAGCAGAGGCATTCTGGAACAGGACACTCGGCGCATGACGTGGGCTGATGTAGCCTGGAACGGGACAGTTTGTAGTAAGGTGTGGGCTGGTGTAGACTGGAACTGCACACTCTTGGCGGCATGGCATGACTGGTGTAGCCCGGACCGGGGACACTCCCTGCAAGTATGGCATGGGCTGGTGCAGCCCAGACCGGGACACTCCCTGCGGTATGGCGTGGGCTGGTGTAGCTTAGAGCAGGACACTGCTGTATGGTGTGGGCTGGCATAGCCCAGAACGGGACTCTAGCGGCGGCATGCTGTAGCAGTGGAGAAGGAAAAGTTGAACTCTGTTTAAGTTACTTTATTTTATTCTGTGAATGGCGCTCAAGTACAAGCCATGGTACACACTTTTCACTGTATTTTAAATTGAATACACATGACAATAAAGGACACTTCTGTACTTTGCATCAGTTTTCACAATGGAAGACAGCAACAGCATACTTGAACTTCAAGAGAGTCGGGACAGAGGTGAGTGTAGTGGCCATCACTAAGGAGAAGGTGCTGGGGAAGCTGAAAAGTCTGAAGGTGGATAAATTACCTGGACTAGATGGATTACACCCCACAGTACTGAAGGAAATAGCTGAGGAGATTGTGGAAGCATTGGTGTTGATCTTTCAGGAATCACTGGAGTCAGGGATGCTTCCAGAGGATTGGAAAATGCCTAATTTAACTTTAGAAGGGAGGAGGTAGAATTCAGGAAACCTCAGTCATTGGTAAGATTTTAGACACCATTATTAAAGATGAGAAGTGCATGGTAAACTAAGGTGGAGTCAGAAAGGCTTTGTCAAGGAGAGGTTGTGCCTAACAAATCTGTTAGAATTCTTTGAGGAGGTAGTGAGCAAGTTAGACAAAGGAGAGCTGATAGACATGATCTATTTGGATTTCCAGAAGACTTTGGATTTGAAGATCCACAAGGTGCCACACAGGAGGCTAGTAGAAAAGAGTCCCTGGTGTTAGGGACAAGGTACTGGCGTGGATTGAGGATTGGTTGACTGGCAAAAGACAGAAAGTAGGGATAACAGGGTCTTTTTCAGGTTGGCAGCTACTAACTAGTGAAGTTCTGCAGGGGTACGTATTAAGACCATAACTTTACATCATATATATGTAAACTATCTAGACCAAGGAACTGAAGGCATTGTTGTTAAGTTTTCAGACAACACAAACATAGGTGGAGGGACAAGTAGTGTTGAGGAAGTGGGAAGGTCTTAGACAGGCTAGGAGAGTGGAGACAAAGTGGTAGATGGAATACAGTGTGGGAAAATGTGAGGTTATGCAGTTCTCTTTCTGGAAGTGGGCACTCACTCATTTTAAAATGGATATTCCTCCTTGTTCTCATCAAGCCAGTAAATGTGGCATCAATCTTTTAACTTCAAGGTGGGCAAAGTTACCAATCAGGTCAGAACACTGACCAGGTCAGGAAGAAAACTGACAGAATAACTGAGGCAATCAAACAATTACCAGATAGGGAAAGCAGGAAAACCAATTATTTTCTAAAGCTGAACCTGAACTGTTTAATGAAATTGCTTTTTATACTTACTTAGGACAAAAATCAGAACAAATCCCAGAATTCTCATCGTTATTGTTTCGACCTTATCCTGCAACAACTTTCATGAATTACATCAGCACACACATTCTGTAGATGTCTGTAATAGAATGAGGTGATTAACTGTAAGTATTAAAAATATTTAGAAACCAGATTTTTCTTTAGATCCTGATCAAATTCATGGGGTTTTGCCAATGTCCCATTGCTCTAAGGGCATGAGGGAAAGTAAGACATCACTGTTTTAGAGGCTTCTACTGATAAAGAAGAGAATTTTCCCATTGCCTCTTACACAATGCATTGTTGAAGAGACCAAAAGCCATCGTAAGCTACTACTGAGTTAAGGGATTGAACTGGGGATGGTATTGAATCGTACAACTAGCCTATGTCTGGTTTCCTAGCCCTTACTGTTGCCCATTGATGCCATTCTATAACAGATCAATGAAAATAAAGACTGGTTTGCACTGCCATAGCATACAAACAAGGAACAAGAGTAGATCATTCGGCTCTTCCAGCATGCTGTGCCATTCAATAAAATCATGACTGATCTGATTTTAACCTCAACTCTACACTCCTACATACCCCCAATAATCTTTCATCCCCTTAGATATTAAGAATCCAGCTATGTCTATCTTAAAAATGTTTAAAGATTCTGCATCCAATGCCTTTTGAGGAAGGAAATTCTGAAGACATACAATCTGCTCAAAGAAAAAATGTTATCTCATCTCTGTCTTAAATGGGTGCCCCTTTATTTTTAAATGATGACCCCTGGTTCTAGATTGTCCCACATGAAGAAACACCCTTTCCATATCTATCCAGTCAAGACTCCTTAGGATCTTGTATGTGTCAATTAAGTCACCACTAACACTTCTGAACTCCACAGCCTATCTAGCCTTTCCTCATAAGGCAATCCGCTCCTTTCACGTATTAGTCTAGTAAACCTTCTCAGAACTGCTTCCAAAGCATCCTTCTATAAATACAATGACCAGCACAGTACACTGTACTCCAGATGCCCTGTAACCCAGCCCCCAATCATCATATTTCATGGTCAAATAGCTCATCTGCAAACTGTGCACAGTTTCATATTCTAATCAAGGTCGCCTCATGAGAGAGCATTGGCACCAACACTGACTCACAAAGGAGATATTGGAATAGAGCATTTCAGTTATGAACCATTATATACAGTGCAACATGAAGTAACTTCACATCATGACATGTTAGGTTTAGTATCAAAAGTACAACACATTTCCGTTGCATTTCAAAGCACCCCCTGGGGCTGTAAATAAACTTAGTATTTTTTTTAATAGGATATTACATCAAATAATACATTAACAGGCCTCAGTGGTGCAACAAACTCCTTTGTGTCCTAGACTTCAAACCCATGGGCTGGATTCTATACTGTGCCCATTCAGGGATTTGAAGGTGGCATGGCGTATAATTTCCATGCGATGAATCAACCCCCAAACCATCCCTGCCACCACTGCAAGTAAATGGAGGGTGGGCAAACTGACTGGTGCTCTGCCCAACTTTCGGCTTTCTCAAGACTGTTAGTGGCCAATTAATGTCGGCGTAAGAATGTCAAGCCACCACTGAGCCCCTGTTATCTCTGCAAAAGTGTGTGGGGTTGGGGAGGGGGAGTGTTGTTTCACACCAGTCAAGAAGCCATTGTTAGGCAAGTTGGGACTGGTCTCCTTTGCAGATCCCCAGGCTTCCACCTTCTCCAAAATTGTGCTTCCCCTTTTGCTATCTACACAGGCCTCTTGAATACGGACCCTCACGGGAGACTGCTAACCTGACCCCGGTGAGACCCAAGCTAATGTCAGTTCCCTGGCATGGTGAGACTCTCTGTAGTCCCAGAAGTTGCCATTGCTGCAGGGGTCACTGCAGAGTAACCAGTTGGCCAATAGCTTTCTGAGGTGGGCTACCTCCTGACAGTCAGGATGGAGATCCCTCCTCCAGTCACTTAATATTCCCCTGCAATGTTAGAGGCCACAGGGTAGCTGTCAAATTTGGCTGAGGGTGCAAGGGAGCAGGGATAACGGTGGCCCCATTAAATCCAGTCTTATGTCTTTCACATGCACATCCCTTCAAATAATATAAACTAAACCAAATTAATAAATGGGGGGAATCTTTTACTTCTACCGTGCCGTGAAGAAACAAAGTTGTAGTTCAAATCAAAATAGTTGATACTTCAAAACAATTTAGCATCCTAGATATGGTGTAAACCAGCAGCAAATCTGTTGATGTTTACCATCATTTCAATACAAATCAAACAACAGCAGCAAGTGGGAGCATGCAGTTGAAAATGATCATCTGGAAATTGCTGTCCGAGATGTGAGATTACAGTGTGCACTTTTAGGGTCCTTATCTGAGGAAGAATGTTGTGGCTGTAGGGGCAATACAGCAAAGGTTCACTGCTTCCTGGGTTGTCAGGACTGATCTATGAAAAGAGACTGGATCAATTAAGACAATATTCTCTCGCGTTTAGAAGAATGAGTGTGGATCTCATAGAAACTTATAAAATTCTAAATGGATTAGATAGGGTAGATACAGGAAGGAATTTCCTGATGACTGGTGAATCATGGAACAAGGAGCCACAGTTCAAGGATATAAGGTAGGCCATTTAGGTTTGAGATGAGGAGAAGTTCTTCACCCAAAGAATGGTGATCCGGCGGAATTCTCTGCCTCAGAAAGCAATTGAGGCCAAAATATTGAATGTTTTCAAGAAGACTAAAGAGATCTAAGTGTATGAGGAGAAAGTGGGAACAGGGGACTGAGTTGGATGATCAGCCATGATCATATTGAAAGGCGGAGCAGGTTTGAGGGGCTGAATGGCCTACTTGTATTCCTAGTTTCTATGTTTCTATGTATTTTTAGCATTTCTTGTTTTTGTTTCAGGTTTCCAGCACTTAAAATATTTTGTAAGCTTTATTTGCTTACAATTATTTTCCTGCATCTTATATGTCTTTGAAATCATCCACTAAGCCCTTCCCTGAAAATCTCTTAGCTGTTCCATCTGATTATCGGAGATGATACCCAGATACTCACATGGTCCCAGATGCTCTGTGGATGTTACAACTCAAAAAGACTTCTGTCTGAACTTTCAGATACATGTAGCACAGAAATAGAATGGATATTAGTCAAGCAAGAGAATGTCTATCTTGCATCTTTTAAGTTTCACAACACTTCCCTAGGAACTCTCATGTCATTATGCAACTGAAACATTGTCTTATCTTTCTGTATTGGCCTCACAACTAAAGTTTCTTCAATGTTTTTCTGATCACACTCTTGAGTTTATAAAATTATTCGTGAGATCTCTTGCTTTGCAAGCTTTGTTCAACAAAACTTTTGCCTTTATTTAATTTTCCATTAATTTGTTAAGCAATTAATGGCTGTGTTTATCTGGAATGATTAATTCTCAATATGGTGACCTAACGCAGAAAGGGGCTGTACTGCCCATTACACATGTTGCGTCTTCTGCTAGATGGCAAAAAGTATTTGCTTGAGTTAGTTTCTATTTTACTTGACATTGGCTGGAAAACCCAGGGTGAAAAAGTCTGTTCTGTCAGTTTCAACAGATGCCTGTTAACACAAGTCTGAGTGTGACAATCATAGTCTTGTTACTACTCGACTATCTCATTTGGAGGGGAGGGCTTTAAATTCAGTTTGTTTGACAGCTCTGAGATATTATTAAAAGGTTGCCTACTTTTGATTTGAGATTATGAAGACAAATAGTTGGTTTTATGACTGATAAAGTACTTGAGAACACTTATATGTAGTGAGTAGGGTTTCTTGCACGAGATTTTTAAAAACGTAGTGAAGTCTGTAATAGATATTTAGAACATTATTTTCTTTTATCTTAACTCCTGGCAACTACACAAGGTGGATACAGGATGAGTTGGCATTAAGTGATGAAGGGGGAAGAGTGGTGGGGAGGCATAGTTAGGCAAGAGTTGATATGGGCACAGTGTGTGGCTATGGGGATTAATGCGGCAGGGCCTTTGAAGGTGAGTGGGTTGGTAGGATTGACAAGAATAGGGCATGGAGAGTTGCTGGAGGAGTGAGTGCTGAGGCTAACCGGCCTAAGAGTCAAAAACACAACTGGAATGCAGTTAACAAGAAAGGCCTATTAACTAGCTCACCTTAACACTAGGCATCCCCTATTTCATCCATGTTAGGTTTTAATCTTTCCTGCACTCCCTGTCCCACCAGTCCAAGAAGAGAATCGTATGTTTGGGGCCCTGGATACATCTGAGCTAGGAAATACCCCATATCTCTAAGATGGAAATTGGGCACTTGGTGCTGGAATGAGTAGCAAATCCATATCAGAGGTGTTTAGCCCTTGCTTCATGCACGTTTAATGCACAGCGTGGAACTCTGCTATCTCCCAAAATCTGCTTCCAGCCTGCTGGGGGAGGGGGTTTGAGCAATAGTAGTGTTTTAGGAGCTGAAACAGAGAGAGTGCGAGCTGCAACTCACAGCTCTGCAGCTGAAAACAGGAGAAAAAGTACAGAGGACGAGGTGTTATTGATGAGCTGTAACAGCAGCCAATCTTCAAAAGTAACTTGTGATGCTATTTGCCATGTGCTAAAAGTTGAGCATCCACATGCTATTGTCAATCAGCTTTCTAAGTTTAGCTGACCTCTGTCAGGAGAGGACCCACTGCAGCTTACTTAACAGGCAGTGGTATTCCGCTCCTTAGGCATTTGATTCTCTTACTGTCATTTAACTTAGTTTAATTTTGACAAATTCCTGATCTTGATTCATTCCCTGTTTCTCCCTCAAACAATTGCCTCACATCCCCACAATTTCCTTATTTTCAAAGATAATATCCCAGTATCAGTCTTTTGGACATCATTGTAAACATTTGATGTTGATTTTGACACCTTTTTCAAGTATCTGACACTTTCATTGTCAGAAGGAGGTCATGCCAAACGAATCTGGTGAAATTTTTTGAGGAGGTGACCAAGTGTTTGAAAGAGGGTAGCGCAGTTGATATGTTGATAGTTTATATGGATTTCAGCAAGGTTTTTGACAAGATCCCAAATGGGAGACTGATAAAGAAGGCAAAGCTCATGAGACACAGGGCAGCTTGACAAGTTAGATCCAAAATTGGCCAAGTGGTAGGAAATACAGATTGGTCGTAGAAGGCTGTTTGTGGGACTGGAGGCCAGGATGCAGTGGTGTACTCTGGGATCAGTGTTGAGTCCCTTATTGTTCATGATATTCATGAGTGATGTAGACAACATTGGGGGGAGGGGTTGGGGTGGATAATAAGTAAGTTCACGGATGACACAAAGACTAGCCAGGTAATTGACAGTGAAGAGAGGGTGTTAAGTTACAGGAGGATACAAACAGATTGATCAGATGGGCAGATCCGTGGCAGATGGAATTTGACCCTGATAAATATTAGCTGATACACTTTGGAAGAAGAGAGACAAGGGAGTACTCAATGAATGACAGGACATCATAAAGCCCAGGAGACCAGGGATCTTAAGGTGTTTGTGGCAGGATAGGTTAATAGGGTAGAGGCAAAAGATTTTTAGTTTAGAAAGCTCACAAATCTTAGAAATCTAAGGTTCCGAATCTTTCCATCCTTATCCTTCACTTTCACAAGAACATGTTGGTCCTAAACTCTCATCAATTGGCCTTTAAAAGATTCCCACATGACAGATGTGGGCTTACCTTCAAACAGCCACCCCCAATCTACTTGCCCCAGTTCTTGCCTAACATTGTCTTTGTCAGACTTCCCCCAATATAGTACTTTCACCGGAGTACTCTTATTCTTATCCCTAAGTATTTTTGGATTCAAATACTTGTTTATGTAAGTGAATACATGGAGTAAAATGCAATTTATTTTTGTCTTCATGTTTTTATTTTGAGAATCACTTTAAACATTTTCTTTAATCTCAGCATGTGTGCTGAGGTTTGTCCATTTTGGATACTGGGGCAGTTGGCATGGAGGATGTAAGAACAAATGGTGGTGAGAGTGTGAAATGTAGAAGCAGGAGCTATAATGGATGAAACGTGGGTAGCGATGGGATAAAAGGGGTGATTTTGGTTTCAATATTTATTTTGTGGCTTTGGTGAATGCCTGAGTGTCGATGTGAATAATTTACTCAGGCGGCTTCTACACCCAACAAACACTGCCAATGAGAATCTACCGCACCACTGCCCTCCCAGTCCTGCCCAGGCTAGCAGCAATGAAGCCATTACTCCCATTTTCACCTGCCTTCTGGCATGAAAATCCAAATGTCTAAGCTCTTTCTCACCATGGATCCAGGAACTGACCCAATTCTGAGCTCCCACCACTACAGTGAAAATTCAGGCTTAGCATTTGCTTTTGAAGTTTGCCTTTTCAACTATTACCTTGACTTCTGTCATTTGATGAATATTAGAATGTAAATAAAAACCGGAAGAACTGTGAATGCTGTAAATCAGGAACAAAAACAAAGTTGCTGGAAAAGCCGAGCAGGTCTGGCAGCATCTGTGAAGGGAAAAACAGCGTAAACGTTTCGGGTCCAGTGACCCTTCCTCAGAATGTAAATATTCATGTAGCATGAGTGATTTGACTTAAACTTATTACAATGTCGATTCAATCTGGCCCTTGTTGGCACTGCAGAAAGCAATCACAAATAGACTCACAAAGGTCACTCCCAATCTAAGGTGTTAGTCTCTTATTAAAGCTATATGAAAGTTAAAATCCTTCAATGGAAACCATTCTGCCTTTGTTCAAGGTTTGTTGACCCTCTGCATTAATAATCTACCACCTCACAAATCCTTTGCTATTTCTTAATTCTACTAATATTTTTGGCACTGTCTGCTCTCTTCTTTTTCTACTGAAGCAATTTCATTCCTAATTACAAAGGCTAGTCACCTCCCTCCTCCCATTGCCCACACCACTTTCTCAGTTTATGTAAGCATCATAACGTGAAATAGTGATCCCAAACTTAACCATCTTTCTGCCATGTCACACTCTCCAACTTGAATTTCGACCTGCAATTTGTTCCTAATTTCCCATAATGGTGTTTAAAGAATGTCTGTTGGAGCTAAACACCCTGACCATCTATTTGAATGTTTTATTCACACATCTTTTTCCTCTCTCTTTCCTAGTTTAATTACTTGACTTGACTACAGTCCTGCCTTTACCTGTGGTGACTGAAGTGTGATTTGATTATTACTCACTTTTTGTTTACTTTCATTCTCTTATTTTCAAGCCGTCCCCAGGTTCCACTTGGTTACTAATTTAGAATCCTTAATTTATCCTTTGCACAAAGATATGTCCACTTACATCTCAATGCGCTAATCTTCAGAATCAACATCAAATGTTTACACTCGTAACTTTGACTCTATTTTCTCTCCACAGATGCTGCCAGACCTGCTGAGTTTCTCCAGCAATTTCTGTTTTTGTTTAGGATCTCCAGCATCCGCAGTTCTTTGTCTTATGTTATGGTAATGGCATCCCATGCACAAATATATACACAAACATATATATACACAAATACACACACAGACACATACATATACATATGTGCAATGCAATATATGCATGCACAAATACAACACATACACAAATACAAGCACACATAGACACAAATACACAAACCAGTATTTGCATACACAAATGCACATAGACACAGATAAAACTACACACAACACACACACACACACACAAACACACTTCACAGTATAATTAAAACAGAGTTCACAAACCCACGCAGGGGTGAGCAACGAACTCTCACACAAAAAAAGAGGCACAAGCTCTAACACATAGAGAATTGATGCACACGTGCACTCAGTGTACAACACACACACCAACTGACAGCACAGAGTATACATACACACACGCACATACCACACACACACACTATGATACACACAATATTTTTTAGATACAGAAAGGTTTATGAGGCACTGAGCATTCATTTATGGATTAATTTGTAGAACTTACTGGTTCCTCTAATCCTTAGAGAGCCACTGCTTGAAATGTTTTGTTAAATGCCTTGTTTGAATCCAGTGGCCTCTCACTGGTTAAACTGCAATGGTTCTTTTGGTTCTCTTCAATAACAGCCTGTTGAAACTTTAGTCCACTGAGATTGGATGGTGCGGCTTGGTTCTTTCTCCTGCTCTTGATTCACTGATCTCAGCAATTCTGCTATGAGATGCCAAAAGCTATGAGTAAAACATGCAAATAAGTTTTACGCCCCCATCTGCCAGGGAATCTGTTAGAGCTTCCTAAGGTCTGTCAAACTTAAATCATGTTGAACGGCAGGACAGATCAAGTGGAGGATACTGCTTGTGAGACAAAGACCTGGCTCTTAATTCAGGATTTTACAGACTACATTACAGCCCTGACTATTTGTCACAAATACTTTCAAGTACTTGGAGACATCATGAGGTAATGAACTGAGTATAAATTCAATTTTTCTTTTTGTTTTTATTGTTGTTGTAGGAAAGAATTCCAAGTACCAACTGTACAGACATTCATTTCCATTCTCCTCACACCACCACCTGCAAAGTCCCCTCCAAGCCATTCACCATCCTGACTTGGAAATATTTCGCTATTCCATCACTGTCACTGGGTCAAAATCCTGATATTCCCTCCCTAAGGGTACTGTGGGCCAACCAACAGCATATGGGACCGCAGCAGTTCAAGAAGGCAGGTCACCACCACCTTCTTATGGGCAACTAGGGACAGGCAATAAATGCTGGCCAGCCAGTGTTGCCCACATCCTCTGAATGTGAAGGGGTTGAAACAGTTTTGGTTACCTATGGATTAAATCTTCAATCATATTGTAAAAGTAAATGAGGACTACAGATGCACAAAGGCAGGTTAAAAGTGTAGTTGCGACACAATGGTGACTCAGCCATAGCTAACAAAGGAAAGTAGAGATAGTATTAGATCCAAGGAAGATACATATATGGTGCAACTGTTAGAGTCCATTATACAATAATTAATAGAAGAGTTCTTGGAAACATAGAACATAGAATCCCTACAGTGTGGAAACAGGCCCTTCGGCCCAACAAGTCCACACCTGCCATTGGTGCATCCCACCCAGACCCATCCCTCTATAACCCACCTAAGCTACACATCCCTGGGCACTATGGGCAATTTAGCATGGCCAATCCACCTACACTGCAAAGGTACTGGAAAGAAGTGGCAAATTTGGACAGAGTCAGCATGAACTTACAAAAGGGAAATCATGTTTGACGAACCTACTAGAATTCTTTGAGAATGTAACTCACAGAGTTGATGAAGGGGAGTCAGTGGATATGGTTTATTTGGACTTTCAGGAGACTTTCGACAGAGTCACACATAAGGGATTAATGTATAAAATTAAAGCAAATGGTATTGGGGATGGACAGCAAACTAGTTGGCAGACAGGAAACAAAGTGAAGGAATAAATTAGTCTTTTTCCAAATGACAAGCAGTGACTAATGGGGTAATACAGGGATCAGTACTTGGAGCCCAGCTATTCACAGTATATATGAATGGTTTAGATAAGGGAACTAAACTAAATTTGTGAACAACACAAATCGACACGAGGGTGAGCTTTGAGGAGGATGCAGAGTTGCTTCAGTATGATTTAGACAGACTTTGAATGATTGGGCAAATAAATGGCAGATTCAGTATAATGTGGGCAAATGTATGTCTTCCACTTTGATAGGAAAAATACAAAAGCCAATTATTATCTGAATGGCTATAAACAGAGATGGGGAAAGTGGAACGAGACCTGGGTCTCCTCATATACTAGACACAGAAGGTAAGCATGCAGGTGCAGTAGGCAGTGAAAAAGGCAAATGCTATGTTGGCCTTCACAGTGAGAGGATTTGATTACAGTCGCAGGGATGTCTTCTTGTAGTTGTACTGGGCATTGGTGAAAACGTACTGGAATAGTATGTGCAGTTCTGGATTCCTTATCTGAGGAAGGATGTTCTTACTATGAATGGAGTCCAGTGAAGGTTTACCAGTCTAATTTCACCTGTGCCAGGACATTGGATCAGTTAGGACTATATTCACTGGAGTTTAGAAGAATAAGGGGAATCTAACAGAAATCTATAAAATTCTAACAGGACTAGATATGGTAAACATAGGAAAGATGTTCCCAATGACCAGAGAGTCTAGAGTAGAGGTCACAGTGTAGGAAATTTAGAAATAAGATAAGGACGAATTTCTTCACCCAGCAAGTGGTGAGCCTGTGGAGTTCTCTACTAGAGAAAGTGGTTGAGGTCAAAACATTGACTGTTTTCAAGAAGGAGTTAGATATCATCTTAGGTCTGAAGGGATCAAAGAGTATATGGAGAAAGCAGAAACAAGGGAATTGAGTTGAATGATCAGACATGATCATATTGAATGGCAGAGCCAACTTGAAGGACCAAAGGGCTTATTCCAGCTTCTCTTTTCAATGTTTGTACATTGCATCTTGAATAGATTATAATCTCTACAGTGTGGAAACAGGCCATTTGGGCCAACAAGTCCACACCGCCCCTCTGAAGAGCATCCCACCCAGACCCATTCCCCTACATTTTTCCCACGTCTAACCCTACCTAACCTAAACATCCCTGGGCACTATGGGCAATTTAGCATGATCAATCCACCTACCCTGCATATCTTTGGACTATGGGAGGAAACCGGAGCACCCGGAGGAAACCCACACAGTCACAGGAAGAATGTACAAGCTCCACACAGACAGTCACCCGAAAGTGGAACTGAACCTGGGTCCCTGGCGCTGTGAGGCAGCAGTGCTAACCACTGTGCCACCATGCTGCCCAAAAGATGATACATACTGCTGTTAACTGTGTGTTGGTGGTAGAAAGAGTGGATGCTTGTGGACGTGGTGCCAATCAAGGAGATGCTTTGTTCTGGATGGTATCGTACTTCTTCAGAGTTGTTGGAGCTGCCCCCATCAGGAAAGTGGGAAGTAGTCCATCACATTCCTGACTTGTGCCTTGTAGATGGTGAACAGAATTTGGGAGTCAAGGTGATTTACTTGTGGATTGTCCAAATTAAACATCCACTTAGCACTTCTGGCTGAATATTGTTGTGAATTTTTCAGTTTGGCACTACATGTTCTTTGCACTAATGTGCTGGGTACCCCATCATTGAGGATGAGGATGCTTATGCAGCTACCTCCTCCAGTGAGATATTTAATTGTCCACTATTATTCATGATGAGGATTGGCAGGACTGCATGGCTTAGATGTATTCTATTAGTTGTGGAAGCTCTCAGCTCTATCTATCTCTGTCACTTGCATGCCAAACAGCATAAGTAGCAAAAATTTAGTTGTAAGCCAGAGGATTGGGAAACCAACAAAAGACTAAAATCAATGAGAGAAAATAATTTTTAATAGTATACCTGCAAGTAATGTCAAGGTGGACAGTAAGAGCCTTGTTAAATATATAAAAAGGAAGAGAGAAGCCAAAGTGAACATTGGCCACTCAGAGAATGATGCTAGGGAAATAATAATTGAAAATCAGGAAATGATAGAGGAGTTGAACAATTGTTTTGCATCAGTCTTTGCAGTAGAAGACACTATAGCATTTCTAAATTAGTAAATAATCAAGGGGCAAAAGGAGGAGAGGAGGTAAATATAACAACTATCATTACAGAAACAAAGTGCTAGGGAAACTAATGGTGTTAAAGACTGACAAGTCCCCTGGACCTGATGGGATACATCCTATAATATTAAAGGAGGATAATAACAGCACTGGTAGTAATCTTCCAAGAATCCTTCGATTTTGGGAAAGTCCCAAAATGATTGAAAATCTGCCATTGTAACACCTTTATTTATAAAGACGAGAAAAATGAAAGGTAAATATAGGCCAGGCATCATAACATCTGTTACATGGAAAATGTTAAGAGTCTATTATAATGAATGTAAATTGTAAAAATGTAAATTTAGAAATACATAATATGATAAAGCACAGTTAGCATGGCTTCATGAAGGGGAATCGTGCCTGACAAAATTAGCAGAATTCTTTGAGGAGGTAACAAGGATAAAGAGGGAAATAGTGGATGCAATTTATTTAGATTTTCAGAAGATATTTGCTAATATATGCATTAGGCTACTTAATAAGAAAACACCCCATGTGTTGAAGGTAGCATATGAGCATGGTTAGAGAATTGGCTAACTAATAGAAGACAGAAATTTGGGATAAGGGAGGCATTTTCAGGATGGCAAACTGTAACTAGTGGGGTGTTGCAGGGATTTGTGTTGAGACCACAATTATTTACAATACGTATAAATGATGGGGAAATGAATTACCATCACCAAATTTGTGGATGACACAACAAAGGATGGAAGGCAAATGGTGAAGATGGCATAAAGAATCTGCCAAGGGATACAGACAGATTAGGTTAATGGGCAAAAGTTAGGCAGATGGAATATAATGTGGGAAAGGTGAGGTTACACATTTTGGCAGGAACAAGAAGAGCTGAATGTTATTTAAGTATGTAAAGACTACTGAAAGCTGTCTTCCGTGAATCACAGAAAGCTAGCATTCAAGTTCAATGGGTACTAGAGAAGACAAATGGAATGCAACCTTTATTTCAAAGGTAATGGAATGTAAAACTAGGGAGATTTTGCTACAACCATGCTAGGCACTAATCAGACCACAGCTGGAATACTGTGAATGATTTGTTTCCCTTACCTAAGGAGAGAAATACTGCTATTGGAGGCAGTCCAGAGAAGGTTCACTAGGCTGATACTGCATCTGGAGGGACTATCTTCTGAGGATAGGTTGAGTAGATTGGGTCTGTATTAATTGAAATTTAGAAGAATCAGAGGTGACTTTATTGAAACATACAAGATTCTCAGAACTTGACAGGGTCGATGTGGAAAAGTTGTTCCTCCCTTTGTGGGACAGTCTAGGACCAAAGGGAACAAACTCAGAATAAGGGGGTTATATACTTAAGAGGAGGAACTTCTTTTCTGAGGGTAGTGAATCTGTGGAATTCTTTACCACAGAGGCTGTCAAGGCTGGGTCATTAAGTATACTCAAGGCTGAGATAGACAAATTTTTAATTAGTAAAGGAATCAAGAGTTATGGGGAAAAGGCAAGAAAGATGAGATACAGATTTGAGGACTCCAGGAGTGTAATCAATGCTGTGGATGAAGAATCTAAAGGATCATCAACAATATCACACAACAAACTTGAAAGATAGGAAAATTGTAAAAGAATTCAACTCTAGGATTCTTCAGCAGCAGAATTTTGAAGAACAACACTGCGCAAGGGCCTGGACTATCCAAAGACAGATGCTGTCAATTGGAATCATAAGTGAAATCCACTATTAATCGGCTAATAGCTAAGATGAGTTGTGAGGCTTAATTTCTTATTTGAGGTGTCTTATTTTAGTTGCTACATGCAATAACATTTAAATAATTGCTTCAGTGTTTGAGTGTCTGGGAGATTTCTTAATAAGTACCGAATTAAAGATAGCTTGTGGTAATTTACCCACAACTTTTTCACACATTCCCACATTCTAATTCATTGCCAGATCTTTGTCCACTCAACCGATCTTTGTAGAATCCTTATGTCCTCTTTACAACACAATTCCTGCTTATGTTTGTGTCATTCAGATTCTTTTGATGGGAAACAGTTGCAGAGAAGATAGAAATAGATTGGCAGAAGAAAAGATAGGCATGAAATGGTTAAAGGAATGAGTGCTGAGAAATAAAAGCAACTTGAATTTGCTTCAGTATCACCAAGTTCGTGCAGGGTTTGGGTCAGATGAAGCACAGCTCCTGATCATTACACATATTCTTATGAGGGCACAAGTGGAGCTGATGGAGGTCAGGGCAAGGCAGGGTAATCGTGCCATCCTCCGTTGAAGAGGCTGCTGACCCCTCCTGTCCAGTGGTGAGTGAATGGATGGTGCCCAAGCTGGTGGGACCATACCTGGGTTGTGGGCAGGTGAAGTGAAAAGGATGTGAAGGAATGAAATGTATGAACAGGCGTGGTCACACCCTCCTCCCTACAAAAACAGCACAGTGTTTAATTAAACAATGATTTATTGTTAATTTTCTGAAGAAGGGTCTAGGCCCGAAACGTCAGCCTTCCTGCTCCTCGGCCTGCTGTGTTCATCCAGCTCTACACCTTGTTATCTCAGATTCTCCAGCATCTGCAGTTCCTGCTATCTCTGAAATGATTTACTGCTGTTCAGATACAGTTATAAGGAATTACACAGGGTCACAGCAGAGGAATGACATGAACATGAAGCACTATGAAAAATAAAACACCAGCCCTGTTTGTGGCCACACATTATACATCAGTGACAGCCTGACTCATTTGCTGAAAATTACATTGGTTGTACTCTTGGATGTCCAATGAACCAGAGATAGTGCTCCTCCACAATGCACAAAGCCACTTGGTGTTGAGAACCCATCTTCTCACTGGGATCAGGGGTACTAGGAAAAAGGTATAATGAATCTGTTGCCATTTCAAGATCACGAGTATTCACACCACACACACACAGACACACACACACACAGACACACACACACACCAGATGGAGGGGACCTGTAAATGGCCACAGGGGAGAATCAGAAAACATGTTGGAACTCTACAAATTCCAGTCAAGTCCATACCAGGGCAAGATCCTCAGAGGAAAATGAGAGAACTGCAGGTTAGCGAAGGGCACGTGGAGGGTCCTGGGGCAATTCAAGCCCAACGCCAAGCCAACCCATTGCTGGTCATCAATGTAAATGGGCCCACTTCTGATCCATTAATTGTGAGGACTGAAACAGCTCCAACTGTGTAGCCAAGGGAGCAACTGTCAAATTGATAACCCTGCTGTATCATCATGGCTGTAGCAGGAGTGAAACTTGTGGTTACAAGGCACTTCCAAATCATTCCAGGGTCACTCTAAGCAAAGACCTTATGAAAACGCAGTCCAGGAAGAGCGATGTACTCGCGGCTTGTTCAGGACAAAAGACAGGTGAAAGAGCAAGGAGGGGGGTGAGTGGTCTTACGGTACCTACTGCATCCACAGTATTCTTTCCATTACCATGTACAGTGGGAGAAAGAGAAGAAGGATTTAGAACAGGGAGTCATTTCCATAGTGCTTAAACCTCCAAAAACAAGAGCTAAATTAGGTGAATTTCGTGGTTGCATTGAAATCTCTCTCTCTGTTTATTCAATTGTTACAATAAGAACATGCTTTTGTCCGTGTCAGAGAACCGACTTTGTACACGTGGAGTGAGGGCCTGCACAAGTCAGGCTTGACGGGAGCCTCTCACTGCAAACCTCTGATCACACTGTTCTCTCGATAGTGGTACAGGCTAGTGGAATCCAGTTTCCCGCAGTGTTTAATCGCTTCGGCAAAGAGCTTTGCCACCTGAAAGGGTATAGGAAGAAATCAATAGCATTGCCAAATAAAATGCTGAGACCTGGTCAGCTTGTACACTCAGCTAACTGAAGGCTGTTTCCCCAAAAGTGAGGGAGTTGGACAGCAGTGGATGTCTTTTTGGGATTTGTCATTAGATTGGGTACAGTGACCCTGGGATGGGTTCTTTGTTGACAAGCCTACAACATTCATACACACACAGCCCTGTCCACTACTCAGTGATAGGTGAAATACACCAGGAGGAATGGTGAGAACCCGTAAGGACGATAGCGCAGCACTGCTCAAAAGAGGAAACTCTGGTCTTAGTATTAATGAATTCTCCTGAGGCTCTGCAGGATTCAAATCCTGCCACAGGAGCTGGTGGTATTAGAATTTAATTCCTCAGTTTCAGATTGAAAGTTGAGACAAGGTCATCCACTGAAAAAAAAACAAAAGCCACATCATTCCCTTGGTTTTGCGGTTTCCTTGGTTTTATAAATAGAGGAGGAGTAGACAAAGCCACAATGATGGATCTAGCTCTGGGCACACTTTTGGAAGAATTTCAGAGGGTGCAGAATCCATTCAGCAGATTCACACCATGCAGAAGGAATCTGGCTTTACAGAGAGACCAGCAAAGCTACAATTGTTCATGCTACAGCAGAGATTTAATTGGAGGTTTCTAAACAAGAGGAGTTCAGAACAATTCTCCAAATGTATCCTGTTTACACTATTAGTGGAATCAGTGACATATTTAAACCATTGGGCCCAGAAGAGAAATGAGGATTGTTTGACACCATGAGTTATTCTGATCTGAAATTCTCTGCTTGGAAAGGAAACTGAAAGATCACTCCACAGAGACGCCCCAAGGGAAGTAGGATTTAAAAGAGGAAAATCAAAATAGTAGAGATATGGGGATGGAATGAACAGCAGAGCTCTTTAAAAGAGCTAGTACAGGTTAGAAAGGTTGAATGGCCTCTTTCAGTGCCATATGGGAGTGAAAGGAGGTTTGATAAATACAGTAACAGCCTGGTAATCCTCTGGCTGGGCACACGATTCCAGAGTGGTCTGTGGCCTCCCCGGTGCTAGAGTCAAGGATGTTGCTGAGAGAAGAGAGTGAACAGCCAGTGGTCATGGTCCACTTTGGAACCAATAACACAGAAGGAAGAGGAATGTGGTCCTGCAGTTAGAATTTAGAGAGCAAGGTATGAAATGAGTAAGGAGAAGCTCAGGAATGATAATCTCTAGATTACTCTCGGTAACCTGCATAAGAAAGCTTAGGAACGGAAGGATAAGATTATGTAAAAGTGGATGGAAAGGTAATGCAGGAGGAAGAGATTTAGATTCCTGGGACATTATGAACATACAATTTTATTCTATGATAATTTATTCGTTTATCTCCTTCCTCACTTTCACAGGGAGATGCAAGGAAACCAAACAGTGAGGATGATGGGTGGACAGAGAGCTGCTTGCCTGGAAAAGGAAAGGATGGTATAAACCTGTCTCATTTATTAAAGCCAGTTTCAGATCTCTGTGTATGACCAAGGTATTCTGAAGGGGATTCTGAATCTCTTCCCTCCTCTCACTGTCAAATTGCCAGCTTTAGTGAGCATCTCACCAGGATTTCCATTGGGAGCACCAAAGTTGGGGCATACAGTCATTATTATTACCTGAAAATTGGTGATGAGAGGTACAGCATGATCAATGGCCATTCTGCGGATCAGGTAATTTTCCCTCATAAAGCGGGTGTTATTGTTGGGCAGGTTTATCACCAAGTCAATGGCTCCATCATGGATCAGTCTGAAAAGACAGTCACAGAATTGTTATGGTGCAAGAGGAGGCCATTCAGCTCATCATGTCTCCACTGGTTGTCTGAGCACTTCAACTTAGTGCCGTTCTACAGTCTTTTCCCCACAACCGGTAACATTGTTCCTATTTAAATAAAAACTCATCGCGCTCTCAACTGAACTTGCCTCCACGATGCTTTGAGGCACTGCATTTGTTACTGGAGTCATCTGTGTTGTGAAAAAGATTATCTCACATTATATTTGCTTCTTTTGCAAATCACTTTATATCTGTGTTCTCTGATTCTTGATCCTTTTACAACTGGGAAGAGCTTTGGCCATGCTGTTGATAGTGAGTTAGGAAGCCATTGAACACAGGACTGACTGCACGGTGGCACAGTTGTTTGATTCCAACCTTGGATATCTATGTGGAGTTTGCACTTGTGTGTCTGTGTGCGTTTCTGCTGGGTGCTCTAGTTTCCTCTGACAGTCTAAAAATATGCAAGTTAGGTGGATTAGCCATGCTAAATTGCTCTGTCTTCTCCTGGAATGTGCAGGCTAGGTGGATTAGCCATGTTAAATACGGGATTACGGGGATAAGGGTTGGGGTGAGGTCTGGGTGTGAATGCTCCTCGGATGGTTGGTGCAGACTCGATGGGCTGAATGGCTTCTTTCTGCACTGTAGGGATTCTATGATTCTGTGAACAGGTCATGAGGAAGAAAACTGGAGGTTGGAATTAACCTTAAGAATGTATCTTGGTAGACCGAACAAGGCACAGGGAAGACACAATAAATGGAAGTGTAGAGGAACCCAGGTAACTGGAGTATGTGTAGCAGGATAGCTAGATGAGTTAGTCAAGAAGGTAGACAAGATATTTCCTGTTCCTTTATATTTCTCTCTCGGGCCTGTTGCACTGCTCCAGCAAACTCAGCACAAACTGGAAGAACAGCATCTCATCTTTCGCTTGGGGATCCTGCAGCCTTCAGGACTCGATATTGAGTTCAATAATTTTAGAGTCTGAACACCTTTTCCTATGTTCTTTACCCACCTCCATACCCCAGGCCCTTTCATCACATGGGCTGCTTTCATCACAACCAACCATTTTCACCCACTAATGATCTCTATTGTCAGCAATTTTTCCCTCCCTGACTTACCATTATCCATCCCTTTGTCTGCCTACTGTCTTCCTCAGGGCTCCATCTTCCCACCTATTTTAGTTACTCCTTCACCCCTGAGTTTCTACAGCAATTTCTGTTTTAACTTCCCTTTACTTGTCAAGGCTTGAAATATAGGGTAAAGAGGCCATGCTAGAATTGATTAAAGCAGCCATAATACTGCACACAGTTCTGTTCATATTGGAAGGGTGTGCTTGCACTAGAATTCCAGAAGAATTGATATGGTAAGACATACACAACATACTTGTGAGGGAACATGAGCAGGCTTTACTAAACACAAGGTGTAGTCAGAGAGGAGGCCTCTGGAGCACCACAGATTTTGACTCCAGCTCAAGCTCCTTTAGAATACAGCCTGTAGCTATTCATAATGTAAAGTTATAATTCAGCTTTAAGCCACAATTTTCAAGGATATTGCCAGAACTGGAGAATTTTAGTCATGAGGAAATATAGAGATGATTTTTTGGAAGAGGAGGTTGAAGGGATACTGAACTGAAGTGCATAAAATGACAAGGGGTCAACGATGAGTGGTTAGAAAGGGCCCGTTAGTCACAGTAAACAGGGGCACAGATGTAAATTATTGGAGGGATTAATCAGAAGTTGGAGGTCCTTTGTTTTCACCCAGAGGGTGGCAGCGATCTGGAACTGTCTGCTTGAAAGCATGTGTGAGAAACAGGTATTTCCATTATAATTGCAAACTGTTTTCGAATACACTCCTGAAACACTGTCCAAGAGGCAGAAACTGGCATTAAGCTAGATAGCTGCTCTTAGAGTAGCACGAGCATGATGGAACAAATGGCCTCTTTCTGTGCTGTAAGTTTCAGTGATCCAATAGTTCTGTGTAGATGCTCCTTTAAACCTACCTCTTTAATGAGGTCTTTAGTGCTCTGCCCTCTGGATGTCAGGCTGTGTTTTAATAATGTGCCCATCCAGCAGCTCAGGGTATTTTTGCTGTTCTCATCATTCAGCAGTATCTGTGCCAAAATCCACCCACATACAAATCCAAGGAGCCATCTCTGCGTAACAATCCACTAAGATAGGCCACAGCCAACTCCATATCTGGAGCTGCTCACATCAGCCAGCTAGTTCAGCACACAGTTACAGAGCCCACAGGACTAATTATTGGGACCAGCAACAAGTGCCAGTGAATAACTGACTGCCAGAACAAGATCTTGTGGTTCAATCTGGAAGAACCTGCTTTGTTCGCAGTGACCTCCTGCTGAGTGCTGATCTGCTCTGTGGGCCTGGGTCCTCAGTTGGACATTCTCATTATCTTAAAAACCTCTTTTAAATTTCCTTGAAGTCTACACTTTTTGTAAAGGCCTGATAATGTTAGGCCATTGTGGAAACAAAGGGATTTTAAACTCAGTATCATTCTAATAGTTTTTGAAGGGTTCTGAATTCTTCAACACAAAGAAACCAAATGGATCTAGTATTTTAAAAGAATCCTAAATCAAGGCATTGTCAATAGATACAATGGAGCTCTCTATTTCATACGGGGACATCCTCATTTTACACATACACACACACTTTCTTTACCTTAACCCTAACCTCCTCACCCACTATTAACATTACAGACTCCTGTACAATAATCTCTGTACATTTTCTTCCCTGTCAAATAGATGGAAAGTTCTGCACTGTGCGCATTCTTGACATTTTCCCTATCCACATCTCTGTTAAATGTCATTTTCCAGACAGAATGCCACTTCCCCATCAATCCTGCCTCAGTTCCTGTTATTTATCTTCTTCCAAGCTGTTCACAATCACTGACACAAATCATTGCGCTAACAATGAACTTCCCTTAACATATTACCACCTTGTATTGCATTTAAAGAGAGAAAGGTCAGCATTCTATTTGGATTTATCATTATCATCAGTACCTGTTCATAGTAACAAAACAAGTCTCACTGGACTGATTCCTGTCAGGTTTCACTAACTGCACATTTACCAATAATAACCTGGTGCAACAATATGACTAATTCTTTATGTATCCCAAGGTCAGAAAATCCCACAGAGATTACCAAGTAAAGTATTATGTGGCATACTGTCAAAACTCTGCTTGAGAAGTTTATTGGGTAGAGTTTTCCAGTAGATTTTGTTTTTTTTTAAACAGTGAAATTGCAATGAAATCCTACAGAGGACGTTTAGATGCAAGTTATATATAAATCAAATTTCTGCACTCGTCATATTTGCTTCCAAATTATTTACCCAAAGCAGCTGGAAAGTATGACAAAATATTAAGGTTTGAATGGAGTACAAATCTAATGGCTGACCCTCTACAAAGGTCAGCGTACAGAGAATCACTAGCAACCACAACAGGCACTCACTTGGTAAAAGAAGGAGCTGATGAACTGTGATCCTCTGCATCAGGCCATGAGACGGGGGCAGTGGGCACATCATTGGCGTTCAACCAGGCAGCCGTCCCTTCTGTGGCATAGAGCTTCAATGAAACAAACAAGAGGTTTCACATCAAACACAAGCCATGTCACATCCTTCAACACACTGACACCAGTGATTGTACAGGTTTTCAGGAACCCCCAGATTAAGGGTTATCTGTTCTCTGAAAGTCTACAAGAGAACACAGAATGACTTGTACATCCCAGTGACAGAGAGGATCGCTGTGTTATTGACATACAAGACGGTGCACTGGGGCTGAAGAACACAGTCATCAGGGCCAGCTTCAGAAGGGCACAGAGACGAGAAAGCTTAAATCTGTAAATAATAGTTTTCTCTTGCAATAATTACATACAGCGCGGGGTCATGGTACGGGGCGGAGTCACAGTACAGAGCATGCAAGGTCAAGGCCTGGGACAAGGACATGGTACAGGGTGGGGTGACGACATGGGGCAGGGTCACAATACGGGGCGGGACACAGCTCTACCTGAGGCTCTCCTGCAATATGTAGCTGTTTTGGAACAGAACTGTAATCTGCTCCCCCCCATATCCCTCAACACACCAAAGATTGATCTGACAGAACAACATTGTCTCATAGAGTCATACAGCACAGAAACAGGTCCTTCACAGTTATGCCAGCCAACAAACACCAAGCTACATTAACCCATTCACCTGCACTTGATCCACAGCCCTGGAATTTTGAATGCTTGTCCAGATGCTTCTTAAATGTTGTAAGAGTATCTACCTCCACCACCCTCGCAGGCAGCGTGTTCCATATTTCTATCGCCTTCAGGAAGAAAAACTTCCTTTCAGATTTCCTCTAAATCACTTGCTCCTCATCTTAAACAATGCTGTCTGGTCTTAGACATGTCTGGCATGGAGAAAAAATTCTCATAATCCACTCTGTCTATGCCTCTCTCAGTCTGTGTAGTGATTGGAACCAGGTGGATCTTGTTGACTACAGGATCCTTGATTGGGTTTTCAACCTGGGGCAACCAGGAAGCCCTGGCTGACCAATATAAATAGGAGATTTAGAATCTCCTCAGTTCAAGGGACTGACTGCGAGCTGGCTGGCGAAAGCCAGCGTACTGTGCACAAGTAAATAGAGGGTGACTTGGTGATGGGATACCAGCCTCTGTGTAGTTATTTAAGTTTGTATACCTCAAACAGATTCCCTCCTCAGCTTCCTCCGCTCCCAGGAAAACAAAACCAATCTCTCCTCACAACATGAGACATGAATCCCCTCTGCATCTTCTCCAATGCAATCATGTTCTTTAGACAGTGTGGCTACCAGAACTGCAATGGCCTGGGCATGTCATCTGTGTGACCAACACGAGACTCTCAGGCAGGTATTGTATTCCCAGCTTCGAAATGGCAGGTGAGCCCCAGTTGGACAGAGGAAGCACCACAGTGATACCCTCAAGGCATCACTGACGAAGAATCACTAGCCCAAGACCTTCTAAAGTGAAGGAGGAGCATCCTGGGAGGTGTCAAGCACCTTGAGACTTGCATTGGGAAAAAAAAAAATCGAAGCCAGGCAAAAACAGTGAAAGGAGCACGCTGCCACACCAATGCCCCACCCACCCCTTCCTGTGACCACCACCTGCCCCAAGTGCCCCAGAGCCTGTGGTAGGGGTATCGGTCTATATAGACACCTATGGGCTCACCCTGAGAGTGGAAGAGAGTCATTCTTGTCTGTGTGGGACGACCGAATGATGACGATGACAACACAGTATTCCATCTCTGGTTTAACAAATGTTTTATAAAGTTGTGACAAGACTTCCTTGCTCTTATATTCTATGCCTCAGCAAATGAAGGCAAGCATCTCATATGGCTTCTTTACCTTCTGTCCACCCGTGCTGACACCTTCAGCGATCTATGGACTTGTACACCAAGGTCCCTTTGTTCCTCAGTACTCCCTAGGAAGCTACCATTCATTGTGTATATCTATTCCTGCCAAAATTAGATCTCACACTCATCAGGATTAAATTCCATCTGTCATTGCTCTGCCTAATGTAGCAACTAATCAATATCAGTGAGTAGCCTAAGGCTATCCTCCTCACTATCAACAACACCAATTTTCAAGTCATCTGCAAACTTACTAATTATACCTTCTACGTTCACATCCAAGTTGTAAATAAACATGTGCGAACAGCCAGTGGATAGTATCAATGGACCCTATTTCCCTGATGTTGACGTGTGGAACTGGAAAGGAAGTCCTTCCAGAGAGCGTTCTGGAGCAGGACACTGAAAACCAAGGCCAGGTGGTGAGACAGCCTGCTAGCCCAGTCTTTGAAATCCCAGTCAGATACAAATGTTGCCTTTAAAATCTCCAACTGAGACTACCAGTATCTCTCAGGCTGCAGAGAGCAGGTGGGGAATGGTCAGTTGTACTAGGAGGCACCTTCCTGATGTCTCTCTGTAAGGTGCAACACAGCAATGCCAGAGTCTTGGTGCTGGGCTCAGTGAAGACTGTGATCACAGACATTCCGACACTGGGAACACTAAAGGCTGTGTGCGAGAACAGCATACCTTTCCCAGCTTTAACTGGGACCACTACTCTGTAATCATCTGTTTTAATCCAGGTGTGGAGACCTACCTCATATCCCTGCTCATGAAGCTGCTGTGCAGTGTCAAGGAACTTTGATCGAAAAGAGCTCTGCAAAAACAATTAACGGAATGTGAGAATCTCAGTATGGACTGGGAGAAAAACGCCAAGTGTTGCTATTACAGTCACCTCTGAACATCAGGATCAGATATAAAAGTCTCTGCAGGCTAGATACCTTCTATTATTAACACCGCTGACCATGTTTGACTGGTGCAGTTCACTGTCAGTCAAAGGGGCTGAGTACCCCAGATCAGAACAAACCAAAGCTCCTCTGACAATCGGTCCGATTCAGTTGAAATAAATTCCAATCACAAGAGTAGCACAGCGACATCAACTTGAAAAGCACAGAGTCATACAGCACTGAAACAGACCCTTCAGCCCAACTCGTCCATGCCGACCATGCTTCCTAAACTGAACCAGTCCCATTTGCCTGTGTTTAGCCCAAATCCCTCTAAACCTTTCTTATCCATGTACCTGTCCAAATGTCTTTTAAATGTTGTAACTGCACCCATCTCTACCACTTCCTCTGGCAGTCAGTTCATACACGCACCACCTTCTGTGTGAAAAAGTTGCCCCTCAGGTCTCTTTTAAATCTTTCCCCTCTCATCTTAAACATATGCCCTCTAGTTTTGCACTCTCCAATCTGGGGAAAAGACCTTGGCTATTCACCTTATCTATGCCACTCATGATTTTATAAACCTCTACAAGGTCACTCCTCAGCATCCTACGCTCCAGGGAGAAAAGTCCCAGCCTATCCAGCTTCTCCTTAAAACTCAAATCCTCCATTCTCACTAGTATCCTGGTAAAACTTTTTAGCACCCTTTCCAGTTTAATAATATTCTTCCTCTAGCAGGGCAACCAGGATTATACGCAGTACTCCAAATGTGGCCTCACCAATGCCTTGTACAGCCGTAACACGATATCCCAACTCCTGTACTGAGTGCCCTGACCATTGAAGGGAAGCATGCCAAATGCCTTCTTCACCACTCTATCTACCTGAGACACCACTTTCAAGGAACTAAATACCTGCACCCCAAGTTCTCTCTGTCCAACAACAATCCCATGCCATTAACTGTGTAAGTCCTGTTCTGGTTTGTCCTACCAAAATGCAATGCCTCACACTTATCTAAATTAAACCCCATCTGCCATTCCTCGGCCCACTGGCCTGGTTGATCAAGATCCCGTTGTACTCTTAGATAATCTTCTTCACTGTCCATTATACCACCAATTTTGATGTCATCTGAATACTTACTAACCATGCATCCTGTATGCTTATACAAATCGTTTATATAAATGATGAACAACTATGGACCCAGCACCAACCCTTGAGGTCCACTGCTGGTCACAGGCCTCCAGTCTCAACCCTCTACCAGCACCCTCTGTCTCTTACCGTCAAGCCAATTTTGTATCCAATTAGCTAGCTCTCTCTGGATCCCATATGATCTAACCAATTTAACAAAATCTTTTAAATTCAGAGATTTAGGTAAAGAATAAGACCCATAAGCAGATTGATTGGTCCACCAAGAGGCAAGCTGTGATGGTCAGTCCATCATGGGGCAGAATGCAATGGTCAGTCCATCATGGGGTAGATGTAATGGTCAGTCCATCACAGGACAGGTTGTAATGGTCAGTCGATCATGAGGCAGGCTGCTATGATCAGTGCACTATGGGACTGGCTGTAATAGTCAGTCCACTATGGGACTGTCATCTTTCATGAGGCACGTTATTTCATTAGCAGCAGCCGCTACACAAAGTGAGCAGGACATTTTCCAGGGAGTGCAGCTCATGGTTAGAACCTGCACATGGCATCTCTTAGATGGGAAGGCTGTAACACTGCAGCTACCTCGCAGTTCTGACCGACCTGGAGACTCTCCTAATCTCCTCACTTTCCATAGGTGAACTGTCCAGATGTGCAAGTTACCAATTAATCCATTTGTCCCTGCTATAACCAGAGATTCTAAGTTTACTGTGTTTATGAATTCTACTCATACAGATTTCACTTCGCCGGAGCTAACATCCTTTCTCACGATTGTGTTAATTTGCTCTTTAACCAGCAAAACTATCCCACCTCCTTTTCCTATTTGTCTGTCCTTCCTAAAAAACAAATCTCCCCGGATATTCAGTCCACATCCCTGATCACTCTGCAGCCACATCTCTGTAATTCCAACTATATCATACCATTTATATTTATTAGCCTGATTAATTCATTCACTTTAAGGTTTTATGTTCTTAGTCCCATTCCAATTATTTTGCAGTGGCCTATTTGAATCTTGTCTTTGAATTCTCTGTCTATCACTTTTCCTATTTTCTAATATCATTTGGTTTTGCCCTCATTAGTCTCTCTTCTGCCTCCCTGTACATGTTCCTCCCCCCACTACCATTTCAATTTAAAGCCTCCCCAACTGTATTAGCACATACTCCCCCCCCCACCCAGGACATCAGACCTGGTCCTACTCAGGTGTAAATGGTCCAGTTTGTACTGGTCTCACCTCCCCCAGAACCAGTCCCAGTGCCCCAAGAATCTGAGCCACCATCACTCCACACCCAAAACCATCCCTTCAGCTGATATGATTCATCTGATCTATCCCACTATTTCTACTCTGAGTAGCATGTGGCAGTAGAAGCAATGCTGAGATCACTACCTTTGTGGTCCTAGTTTTCAACTTACTTCCTAACTCCCTATATTCTGCATTTAGGATTTAATTTTGTTTTTTCACCCATGTCATTTGTATCATTGTGTTCTACAGCCACTGGCTACTCACCCTCCCTCTCCAGAATGTCCTGTAGCTGCATTGAGACATCCTTGGCCCCAGCACCAGAGAAGCAACATATGATCCTGGAATCTCATGACCACAGGAATGCCTATTTATACCCCTTATAATTATTGAATAGAATTCCCTACAGTATGGAAGCAGGCCATTCAGCCCATCAAATCCACAGTGACACCCTGAACAGCATCGCACCCAGACCCTCTCCCCTACCCTATCCCTGTAACCATGCTAGTCTGCCTAACCTACACATCCCTGGACACTACGGGCAATTTAGCATGGCCAATCCATCCAACCTGCACATGTTTGGACTGCAGGAGGAAAGTGGAGCATCCAGAGGAAGACCACGCAGACGCGGAGAGAATGTGCAAACTCCACACAGACAGTTGTCCAAGGGTGGAATCAAATTTGGGTCCCTGGCACTGTGAAATAGCAGTGCTAATCACTGAGTTGCCATGCTGTCCCTATAATTGAATCTGCTATAACTATTCCATAATCACATTTTCTTCTCCTCTCCCATGGAGCAGAGCCAATTGTGGTCCAATGAATTTGCTGTTGCTACTTTCCTCCGAGAGGCCATTCCCCTCACCCTTATCCAAAAGTGATGTCTCTGTTTTGCAGGGGAATGGTCACAGGAGGTTCCTGCTCTTCCAGCAAAGTTCTCTTGTTCTGACACCCATTCCCTCCCTGCCTGGGAGGTGACCACCTCTCTGTACCTACTATCCACAGCATGGTGCTCTCACCCATTTGTTCGCGTACACATCACAGAGTCAGTCGAATCCCCTCCCCACTACACTCAGATTGCTGGTAGTCAGGGCCTGCTCAGGAGAGAAAGAGGCCTGCTTTCTGAGCTGTGGTTAGAAGCACACACCAATGTGAACCTGGCTCTCTGTGGGGCAGGTTGATTCTTGTTCCCAAACTTGTACCTGAATTCCAATGAGAATCCCTTTCTGAGGTAATTTGAAGCCTGTGGATAGGATCGCCTTCAGGAATGCAGAGTAAATATTGGGCCCAAAGCAAGCAACCTATTAAACAGAAACAGAGAAGATTCAGTATGCTCACATTTCCCACATAATTCAGGGAAATTGTCAATTTGGTTCTGTGGGGAAAAAAAATCTCTCACCTTGGAGTCAGAAAGTTTTGGGTTCAATTGTTACCGTGCACAAAGAGGCCATTCAACTCATTGTGCATGCATCAGCTCTCTGAATGAGTATTCAGACTTCGTGCCATTCTCCTGCCTTTTCCATGAAGCATTCTTCCTTTCAAAATACCCACCAAACAATTTTTTTGGATGCCATGCTTATCAGCACTGCTTTCCAGAACCTCATCACTCACTAGTGAAAAGGGTTCATCTGAAAGAAGTCTTGGCTAACATTCTCGTGCAACACTGAGTTATGGCTATACGGCCTGAGGGCCTTTTCTTTTAGACAGGGAGGTTAGATCGAGGCATTGTCAACTTAAAATGGAAGATACCATGGAACTATTGCAGAGATGAGCTAGGGAAACATCCCCAGTGTCCCAACTAATATTTATCCCTCAATGACGATCACTGAGATCAAACAATCAGTTTGCAATTCTTTTGGAATTTGTTGTGCATAGCTTGCCTGCTCAGCTTCATCCACAGGAGGAGTGGGATTTCCAAAATAAACTTCAGTGAAATTGGTTCAGATTATCAGCAAAACCTCTGCTGGCTCTTTCCCCTGCCAGTGGTACCAGTAAACAGTCAGGATGTTTCTCTGTGTAATGACTCCCAGGTCAGTAAGCTAAAAGAGATAAATGGACTGTTAAAATACAGGTACCTCTCCAGTTGATGCCATCTCACAGCGTAGAATTGGGTCTGCATCCCTGAGTCGTGGCCAAGAAAACATGGGAGCCTGCAAGTGACCAAATGAAGTTTAAAATAGCTGCATTCATGGAGTTCAGAAACAGTTCACTAGTAGGATCTTAGTGCAGCACACATACAGCACAGATACCGATGGTTTCACTGTTAGTGAACAACAGCACCCACTACAGGTGAAACCTGAACTTACCATGTTCATTTTCCCAACTTCTGCCCACAATCTTACAGCAATGGCCTCAGATACCTCAACTTATAGGGTAAGTGACGATAGTATCACTGGATTGTTATTGCAGAGGCCTAGGTAATGTTCTGGGGATCTGGGTTCACAATCTACCACAGCAGATGGGGGAAATTTGAATTCAATGACAGTCTGGAATTAAGAGTCTACTGATGGATCTACTGCGGGAATCAGGGACTAGAGGCTACCAGTTTAAGATAAGAGGGGAAAGAATACATGGGAACGTGAGGGGCAACTTTTTTACACTAAGGGTGGTGTGCATACGGATGAGCTGCCAGCGAAAGTGGTCAAGGCGGGTACACGGGCAATACAGGGTGACACGGTGGCACAGTGGTTAGCACTGCTGCCTCACAGCGCCAGGGACCTGGGTTCGATTCCAGCCTCGGGCGACTGTCTGTGTGGAGTTTGCACATTCTCCCCGTGTCTGCGTGGGTTTCCTCTGGGTGCTCCGGTTTCCTCCCACAGTCCAAAGATGTGCAGGTTAGGCGGATTGGCCATGCTAAATTGCCCGTAGTGTTCAGGGAGGTAGAGAGTGTATATTAGGTGGGTCATAGGGGAATGGATCTGGGTGGGATGCTCTGAGGTTCGGTGTGGACTTGTTGGGCCGAAGGGCCTGTTTCCACACTGTAGGGATTCTAATTAACAATGTTTAAAAGGCATTTGGACAAATACATGGATAGGAAAGATTTAGAAGGATATGGGCCAAGTGCAAGGAAATGGGATTAGCATGGATGGAAATTTTGGTCAACATGGACCAGTTTGGGCCAAAGGGTCTGTCTCTGTGCCGTAGGACTCTATGACCACGAATCTGTTGTCAACTCATCTGGTTTACTAATTTCCTTTAGGGAAATCACTCTCTTAGGGCCATCCTGCCCTACATGTGACTCCAGACCCACAGCAATGTGTTGATTCTTACGGGCAATTAGCGATGGGCAATAAATGCTGGCCTAGCCAGCAATGGCCTCATCCCATGAATGAATAAAAAAACCTTTCAATTTGACATAAAGTGACTCATTTTAATTTTGCTTTGAATAAAGTTTGAGGTGGTGGCATATAATTTATCTCTCTGTCTGTCCAACATTGTTCTGCCTTTGAAACATTTGAACAACTTTCCTGACTGCTACATCGCAGCTTCTATTCTGCTCTTCCTTGTTCATCTCACACTGATGTGGAGACCTGTCCCCACACTTAACACTCCAATAGCAGAAACCTCTCAATAAAATAGATGCAGCAACATATCATCAAGACACTTGGAAATATTAGAGTAAGCTAGCTACTATTATAAAAGAAGATTGCAAGAGATTTTTTTTAAGATATCCAAAAGGTAAGAGAGAGGCATGAGTGAACATTGGACCACTGGAAAATTAGGCTGGCAAAGTAGCAATGGAAACAAAGAAATGGTGGAGGAACTGAATAGGTATTTTGCATCATTTTTCACAGCTGAAGACACTAGCAGCATACCAGAATGTCAAAACAGTCAGGGGGCAGAGGTGTGTGTAGTGGCCATCCTTAAGGAGAAGATGCTAGAGAAGCTGAAAGGTCTGAAAGTAGATAAATCCACACAGTCCAAATGGGCCACACCCCAAAGTCCTGAAGGAGATAGCTGAGGAAATGGCACAGGTATTGGTGGTAATCGTTCAGGAATCATTGGAGTCAGTGAGGTCCCAGAGGACTGGAAAGTGGCTAATGTAGCAACCTTGTTTTAGAAGGGAGGGAGGCAGAAGACCGGACAATATAGGCCAGTTTGCCTGTTCTCAGTCATTGGTAAGATCTTAGAGTCTGTTATTAAGGATGAAATTGCAGAGTACTTGAAAGTGCATGGTAAACTAGGTTGGAATTGGCAAGGCTTTGTCAAGGGAAGGTCATGCCTGATAAATCTCTTAGAATTCTTTAAGGAGGGAATAAGCAATTAGACAAAGGAGAGCCAGTGGATGTGATCTATTTGAATTTTCAGACCTTTGACAAGATGCCAAACCGAAGTTTGCTAAATAAGAGCCCTTGGTATTAGAGGCAATGTACTGACATGAATAGAGATTGGCTGACTGGCAAAAGGCAGACAGTAAGGAAAACGGGGTCTTTTTCTGGAGGGCAGCTATGACTAGTGAGTTCTTCAGGGATACATGTTGAGACCACAACTTGGACAGGCCATGAGAGTGGGGAAAAGAAGTGGTAGATGGCATACAGTGTGGGAAACTGTGAGGTTATGTACTTTGGTAGGAAGAATAGAGGCATAGACTATTTTGTAAATGGGGAAAGGCTTCTGAAATCTAAAGCACAAAGGGACTTGGGAGTCCTAGTACAGGATTTTCTTGAGGTTAACATGCAGGTTTATTTTGCAGTTAGGAAAGCAAATATAATGTTAACATTCGTTTTACGAGGGCTAGCACCATTGCCTCACAGCGCCAGGGACCCAGGTTCGATTCCAGCCTCAGGCAACTGTCTGTGTGGAGTTTGCACATTCTCCCTGTGTCTGCGTGGGTTTCCTCCGGGTGCTCCGATTTCCCCCCACAGTCCAAAGATGTAGAGGCTAGGTGAATTGGCCATGCTAAATTGCCCATAGTCCCCAGGGATGTTTGGGTTAGACATGGGAAATTAGGGGAATGGTTCTGGGTGGGATGCTCTTTGGCGGGGTGGGCGGTGTGGACTTGTTGGGCCGAATGGCCTGTTTCCACACGTAGGGATTCTATGATCTTCTATGATCTATGAAAAGACCAGAAAGATGTATTGTTCAGGTTGAATAAAGCCCTTGTCAAACTGCATTTGGAATACTGTAAGCAGCTTTGGGCCCTGTATCTAAGGAAGGATGTGCTGGTGTTGGAAGTGGTCCAGAGGAGGATCACAAGAATGATCCTGGGATGAAAGAGCTTGTCATATGAAGAGTGTTTGAGGACTCTGGGTCTGTACTTGATGGAGTTTGGAAGGATGAAGGGAGATCTAATTGAAGCTTACAGAATACTGAGAAGCCTGGATTGAGTGGATGCAGAGAAGATGTTTCCACTATTATGAGAAATTAGGTCCAAGGGCATATCCTCAGAGTGAAGGGATGACCCTTTAGAACTGAGTTGAGGAGCCAGAGAGTGGTGATCTGTGGAACTCATTGCCACAGAAAACTGTGGAGGCCAAGTCTTGAATGTATTTAAGACAAAGCTAGATAGCTTCTTGACTGGTAAGGGGATCAAGGGTTACACGGAGGACGCAGAAGAATGAGGCTGAGAAACATATCAGCCATGATCAAATAGGGGAGCAAGCTCGATAGGCTGAATGGCCTAATTCTATTCCTCTATATTATGTTCTCATGGCAATGCAATTGTATGGATCTCGACTTTGTAGTCTGTGTCCATCACCTGGCCAAAAAACCTTGCCCATTGCACGATTGACAAATTGTACTTAAAATTCCCTTTTCACACACTTGAGGGGTGCCCAACATACAAATACACATCAGACAGTTTGGGAAGATGACTGTTGGGCTTCATCGGAATCTTACAGGAAGGGGATGGGGGCAGATGTTGAGAGTTGATTCTAGAAATCAATGCTGAATTAGTTCAAAGAGAAGAGGTTAGGGTTCCCTGTGCCGGGACTCCAGCTGCGGCATTCAGTTGTCGAGATCAGCTGAACGGGAAATGCAGACTGGAAAAATTAAACTGCACAGACAGCAACAAGGAACATTGAATCTGATAAAACCCAGAAATGCCCTTGCACCAATTCAAGCCTGTCACATATCTCAATAAAACATTCCAGGCAATATACCCTCTTAAATGGCACCATTCTCACTTTAATCTGAACAGCAGCTCAACCGATGAACTGCACATCGCAGGGAGTGATTCTTCACTAGAGACACAAGAATCATTATCCTCAACGTCACCAGCCCATTCTTGGATTATTTGCTGTACCTTGATGCCCACATACTCGGTCGGTATGATGGGATTTTCCAACGATGGCAGGGGTGACTCATCCATACTCTCGCCAATCATCACCCGCGTCGCCACATTGATGAGGTCGACTCCAATGGTCTTTGAGACAAAGGGGCAGGACCTGGATGCCCTGAGGTTACATTCGATCACCTGGTCACCAACAGAGACACAGTGAAAATGAAAGCATTCAGGGCTTGTCATACAGTTAGCAATCTTGTGTGGATAGCTGCAAGTGAACACCACTTCCAATTGATCTCCAGTGAGAACAGTGTGGATGAAAAGAGCTCATTTAAGGTTATCAACAAACAGTGTGACACAAGCACCTCTGCGTTTCTCAGAAGAACTAAAATAAACTGAATACCTTTCTCCACGTGTGGGGAATCCTGCAGTGAGTAATTCACTTCCTGACTCACTAAAGACCCCTAAAGCAACAAATAGAATATAACAAGGCATAAGTCAGGACTGTGATGGAATTGTCCCTGCTTGTCTGGATGGGTGCAGCTCCAAAACACTCAAGAAGTCTGACACCATCCAGGACAAAGCAGACCACTTAATAGGGCACTACAGTCACTCCCTCCAACACCAACACTAAGTAGCAGTAGTGCGTACTACTTATAAGATGCACTGCAGAAATTCACCAAGAGTCATTAGACAGCACCTTCCAAATCCACGGCCACTTCCATCTAGAAGGGCCAGGGCAGCAAATACATGGGAACAGTACCACCCGCATTATCCGCTTTGTGTTCATCTTGGTCTCTCACAAATCTCATCTCAAATCTACCTCAGGCTTCCTGGATAAATATCGTTCATCTGTAAGGATCTGTCAAATCTAAATCCATTGAACTTGTCCCTGACCTTTGTTTTGTTTTAGGTCCAAGTCCTGAGAAGGCCATGTTCCATCCAAAACTCTCCACAAATGTGAGCTCATCCATAATCCTGCTACTGTTATAATCCCCATGGGGAAACCATAAACCAAAATAACCAGCTTTATTGAATTAATACCCAAATTAAGAAACCACCAACAAGAATCAGCTTTCTGCAATTGTTTCTTTAACACAGACTGGAATCAATGTACATTTGATGTGAATGAACATTCACCCACACCCCACCACCTCCATTCACTCAGCCAAACTGCCATCCACATTCATTAGAAGGCCTAAACCTAGTTCAAGTGGGAGCATGTCCTCTCCCTACTTTGCCTCTCCTGCACTTCCTCTGACAAGGCAGTACCATCTGCTGTTGACATGACAAAGTCTTTGGGGGTGGTGCCAATGTGTCGCTCACTGGAAAATCTGAGACTGACATACCCAAATGGCAATGAGTAGAATATAACAGGCTGAACAGCCAATTCAAACAAACACCCAGAAAACAAATACAGGAGGAATTAAGGAATGTAGTGGAGTTTCTCTGAGGTTTACCATTCCCATAAAACCACAGAAACCTGATTTATTAGGCTGCTTACCATCACATCATTCCCCTTCACAAGAAACTGTACATTAAATGGTCCAGAAATCTCAAACGCCCTGGATATCTTTCTCGTTGCAATCTTCACCTAAAAACACAAAGAATTGAAAGGTCGCAGTTAAAAAGTGTGCTGATTCATACTGGCTCTGGTAGTTCCACTTCTGGTGTTCTTTGTGAGTCCAGCATTAATCCAGAAACTGTAAGGTTCTCTAGCCTTCACTCCCTACCCACCCAACATGGACCTTCATTGCCTCCAGGCTAACTCAGTGTCCCTCTCATCCACCCAACTTTGAGCCCTCATACCCTCATGTAACATCCGCACCGACCCACTCGTAATTCCATGCATGGATCTTGGAAGCCATACAGAGATTAAAACAATAAACTTCCAACAAAGAAACACAGCATGCATTAAATAGTGAAAAATAATCCCATGAAGAAAATGAAAGGTTTAAACCTCAAGTGGTTGATCACTTATAAAAACAAACTTATATCCAGACCCCAAATCAAACACTATTTTTAAATAGCCTTTTTTAACTGTCAATTAAACTGTGTGACTTCAGAACCCACCACTCAAACAGCTGAAACTCAGACGAGCATTCCTAATGACATAACAATGGCCCATAGGAAATGTCAACAAAGGAAATGTCAGAACTGATGCCACACCATCAGTTCTGACTGTTGTTCTCTAACCTGCAGCAGATAACCAGTCAATCTTAACAGTTCAGCAGAGAGATTTTCTTTAACTCTCACCAGTAGCTGCAGCATATATTTCCTTAGTTAAAGTGCAGGGGATTTCACAAGCTTCAAATCATGACAATCTCATCAACACAACTAGAGTGTCTACATTGACTCCGTCAATTGGTGACTGCAACACTGCATGAAGCACAGTCCAGGTCCTCTCCTACTAGGAAAATCAGATCTGTTGGAAATGGGTTCAGGGCTTCCACATCACAGTTCACCTGCCATTTTTAAAGGTTTGCGGTGTCTTCCAATGGCTGGTTTCCAAATTTCACAAGAAATCTTAGAGATTTCAGGTATTATACTTTAAACTGTCTCCTTAATTTCAAGACAGAATGGACTTGGTGTCTAGAGGATTAGCATTTATTGTGAGACTGATCTTTGGTGCAAGCTCTTATGTAAGGCTAGGAACAGAGAGAGAGTACAGTTGAACACGTGGCTACAGAGCTGGTGTAGGAGGGAGGGCTTTAAATATATGGATCATTGGGATGTTTTCTGGGGAAGGTGGGACCTGTACAAGAAGGATGGGTTGCACCTGAACTGGAGGGGCACCAATATCCTGGGCACGAGGTTTGCTAGAGCTCTTCAGGTGGGTTTAAACTAGTGTGGCAGGGGATTGGGAACCAGAACAATGGGCCAGTAAGTGCAGGGACTGGGGACAAAAGAGACACTGAGATATGCATAGTGCAGAGTAAGAGCAGGCAGAGGGAAGTCGGAGGGTTCAGAGGGACTGGAGGTCTGGAGTGCATTTACTTCAGTGCATGAAGTATAACAGGTAAGACAGTTGAACTAAGAGCACAGATACTGCATGGAATTATGATGTTATTGCCACTATGAGACGTGGTTAAAGGATGGACAGGTCTGGCAGCTTAACATCCAGGATATAGCTGTTTTAGATGGGACAGAAGGGGAAACAAAAGGGGTGGGGAGTTGCATAGCGAATTAGGGATCCCATCACAGCTCTGTTAAAGGAGGACACATCAGAGGGATCTTGCAATGAGGCATTATGGATGGAGCTCAGGAATAGGGACGGTGAAATCACAATGTTAAGAGTTTTCCATAGATCTCCCAACAGCCCACGGGAGACAGAGAGGCAGATATGTCGTCAGATACTGGAAAGGTGTGAAAAACGCAGGGTAGTTGTGGTGGGTGACTTCAACTTCCCTCTTATTAACTGGGACTCACTTAGAGCCGAGGCTTGGATAAAGAGCAATTTGTTAGATGTGTCCAGGAGGGCTTTTTGAGACAATATATTGACAATCTAACCAGACAGGAGGTCATACTAGGCTTGGTATTAGAGAACGAGCCAGGGCAGGTGACCGACGTTTCAGTCGGAGAGCATTTTGGGCTTAGTGGCCATAACTCCATAAGATTTCGAGTAGTCATGGACAAGGACAAGAGCGGCCCTCAAGTGAAGGTGCTTAATTGGGCAGGGCCAATCACATCCAAATTGTACACGATCTAGGGAATGTGGATTGGGTGCAGTTATTTGAGAGCGAATCTACATCTGGCATGTGGAAGGCTTTGAAAGACTAGTTGATTAATGTGCAGGACATGCATGTCCCTGCAAAACTGAAAGATAGGAATGACAGGATTCCAGAACCATGGATGACAAGGAAAATTGTAAGCTTAGTTAAAAGGAAATAGGAAACATACCATAGGTCTAGGCAGCTACAAACTGATGAAGCCCTTGAGGAGTATAAGAGAAATTAGGAAGGAAATTAAATGCAGAATTAGGAAGGCTAAAAAGGGGCAATGAAATGTCTTTATCAACCAGGGTCAAGGTGAATCCCAAGACTTTTAATGCATATATTAGAAGAACAGGGTAGCAAGGGAAAGAGTAGGCCCACTCAAGGACAAAGGAGGAAAGTCATGCGTAGAGCCACAGGAAGGCTATCAGTATTCACCAAGGAGAAGGACATGACTGACGTTCAAGTCAGGGATGAGTGTGTGAATACTCTACAATATATTGAAGGAGGAAGTTTTAGAAATCCTAAATTGCATTAAAGTAGACAAATTCCCAGGGCCAGATGGGATCTATCTCAGGTTACTTGAGGTAAGGGAAGAAGTAGTTGGGGTATTAGCAGGTATCTTCACATCCTCTTTGACCACAGGCAAGATTCCAGAGGACTGGAAATTAGCCAATGTTGTTCCCTTTGTTTAAGAAAGGAAGCAGGGATAATCCAAGAAATTATAGGCCAGTGAGCCCGAAGTCTGTGGTGGGGAGACTCTTGGAGAAGATACTGAGGGACAAAACATACGCAAATTTGGAAGAAAATGGACCAGTTAGTGACAGGCAGCATGGTTTAATATGGGGAAGGTCACGTCTCACCAAACTGATTGAATTTTTTTGAAGAGGTCTCAAAGATAATTGATGAGGGAAGGACTACATATGGACTTTAGTAAGGCATTTTGGTACAAAAACTAAAATCACATGGGATTCAGAATGGGCTGGCTAGATGGATATAAAACTGGCCTGGTCATAGAAAACCGAGGGTAGCGGTGGAAGGGTGTTTTTCAGAATAGAGACCGGTAACTAGTAGTATTCCACGGGGATCAGTCTTAGGTCCTCTGTTGTTTGTAGCGTATATAAATGATCTGGAAGTTAAGCATTTAGAAATTTAAGCAGTGAGCAAATTGCTGTGTAAAATGAAAGAGGAATTTGAGAGGGTAGATAAAGAGAAACTACATTCTCCAGGGGAGAATTAAATCTAAAATCTAAAAGTTAGAGCTCATCCACTCAGGAGTGAAATCGTGCTAGAAGAACAACTGAAATTTCTGGCCTAAGTGGCTATGCATTTGGGTATGATCAATGTTTTCAAGACAATGCAGACTAGATCTTATTGGTTAACCATCTCAAAGTACTATGGAGGTAAGATAATTAATGCAGTTAGGTTCAGATCAGTCACAATTTAACTGAATAGATCTGGCTCAAGGGGCTCAAAGATCAATTCTTGTCCCTGTACAACCTTTCAGTGGATAGAGCAGGAATGCAGTGTTTCATGTTATTGAGAATACTGATGAGTGAGTCCAGTGATGTGGAGAGGCTTGGGTTTTCCTATGCTGAGCTCAGAGGCATACAAGGAAATCTAAATAAAGGTGCACCAAAACCTTTGGGAATTTTAAATAAATAAACAGATTAAATAAGTTGACACCATTTCCCCCGAGAGTGTGGACAGTAACTAAACGGCCTCAGAGTTAAACAAAATTGGGGGAAGGCTGATTTCAATATCATTAGATGGGCTCTGGGACTAGGAGCACCCACTTGCAGGTAAGTCTACATTTGGAAAGGGGGAGTCTTTTAAAAGCGTTATAGTGAGAATTCAGGGCTAGCGTGTTTTTCTAAGAATGAAGGGCAAGAGTAACCATTCCAGCGAACCTGGATGTCGAAAGTTTCAGAAAGAAAAAGGATGAAGCATATGTCAGGTAAGCGCATTAAAACAGGCAAGGCCCTTCAAAAGTACATGTTGACTTCTCCTTTCCTCCAGATGCTGCCTGGCTTGCTGTGTTCTTCCAGCCTCCTGATTGTCTACCTCAAAAAGTATAATTTTGGACGTTGCTTAAAAAGGAAATGGGAGGGCAAAGAGGGGCCATGAAAAATCTTTGACAGATGGGATCAAGAAAATCCCAAGGCATATTTTTAAGTATGTGAAGTGAAAGAGGATTACCAGGGAAAGAGTGGGATCTATTAGAGACCAAAGGGGTAACCTTTGGCATGGAGTGAGGTCTTATTCACAGAGAAGAAATTCATTGAGGCTGGGGTTTTCAGTTAGGATGGTAAGGTTCTAGAACACGTTAAGATTAATAAGGTGTTATTAGATGTTTTAACAGGCATACAGGTGCTTAAACCCCTAGGGCCTGATGAGATGTATCCTAAGCTGCTTGGGGAGACGAGGAAGGATATTGCTGGGCCCTGGTGGAGATATTTATATTTTGCTGGCCACAGGTGAAGTGCCAGATGACTGGGGACAGCTACAGTGTTCATTTGCTCAAGAAAGGCAGCAGGGACAGGTCAGATAATTACAGATTAGTTTGTCTGGTGTCAGTGGTAGGGAAATTACTGGAAAAAAATTCTGAACACCAGGATTAATCAATACTGAGAAAAGCAGAGATTGATCAAGAATAATCAGCATCGATTTGTTAGAAGAAAATCCTGTCTAATTGAGTTTTTTTGAAAAGGTGACTAATTATATTGATGAGGGTAGCGTAGTTGATGTGGTTTACATGGACTTCAGTAAGGCCTTTGATAAGGTCCCACATGGAAGGCTGGCCCAAGAAATAAGAGCCCACGTGATCCAAAGACAGTTGGCAAACCGGATCCAAAATTGGCTTAATAATAGGAGGCAAAGAGTGATAGAATCCCTACAGTGTGGAAACAGGCCCTTCGGCCCAACAAGTCCACACCTGCCCTAGGAGCAGACCCATCCCCCTACAACTCACCTATTCTACACAGCCCTGAACACTTCGGGCAATTTTGCACGGCCAATCCACCTAACCCGCACATCTTTGGACTGTGGGAGGAAACCAGAGCACCCGGAGGAAACCCACGCAGACACAAGGAGAATGCAAACTCCACACAGACAGTCGGCTGAGGGTGGAATCCTATCCGGGTCCCTGGCGCTGTGAGGCAGCAGTGCTAAACACTGAGTCACCGTGCAGCCCCACCTCCAGTCTTCTGATTGGAAGTAGAGGGTTGCTTCTGTGATTGGAAGTCTGTGACCAGCAGTGTACTACAGGGATCAATGCTGGGATCTTTGCTGCTGCTTGTTATGTAAGTAACAACTTGGATGTGGAAGTAGAAGGTATAATTAGTAAGTTTGAGGATGATGTGAAAATAAGCAGTGTTGTTGATAGTGAGGAGGATGGTCTCAGGCTACTGTCTGATATCAATCAGCTATTAATTGGACAGAGGAATGGCAGATGGTACTTAATCCTTATAAGTGTAAGGTGATGCATTTTGGGAGGTCCAGTAAGGGATGGATATACACAATGAGTGGTATGATACTAGGGAGTTATGAGCAATAAAGGGATCTAGGTTACAGGTCAATAGATCCCTGAAGGTGTCAGCACCCATAAACAGAAGGTAAAAAAGGCATCCAGGATGCTTGCCTTCATTAGCCAGGTTGTAGAATATAGGAGCAAGGAAACCTTGTTACAACTTTATAAAACATTGGTTAGGCCACAGATGGAAAACAGTGTGTAATTCTGGTCACCACATGATCAGAAGGATGTGATTGCACTCAAGAGGATGCAGAGGAGATTCACTAGCATGTTGCTTGGGTTGAAAAGTTTCAGTTATGAGGACAGGCTGGATAGGCTGGGTTTGTTTTCCCTGGAGCAGAGGAGATTAAGGGACAGGGTAGGGGAGAGGTCTGCTTGAGAAATACAAAATGAGAGGCTTTGACCGAACAGATCATGCGAATCTCTTCCCCAGGGCAGACATGTCTAAGTTTATGCTAAGGAGCAAGTGTACGAGCATTTAAAATGCCAGGGTATACTAAGCGATGGATCCGAATGTAGTTTGGTGTTTGTTGTCTGCATAGAAACGATGGGTCAAAGGGTCTGTTTCTAAGCCTTATGACTCCACGTCTAATAAGCAAAAGAGCGAAATTGAAGATAAAAAATCTGTTTATTGAATTATGAAGGTGGCAATGAGTGAAAGAATAAGGGGATCATTCAATACTACCCCTCAAAATGGGTGCAGATAAATATTTAAAAACAGAGGAATTTATGGGGAATTGAACTGGGCAGTGGGACCAGATGCATCACTCTAGACCTAGGGATGCAGGTACGTAGTTCTGTGAAAGTGGCGACACAGACAGGCAGGGTGGCAAAAAAGGTATTTGGCATGCTTGCCTTCATTGGTCAGAGCATTGAGTACAGTAGTTGGGACTTCGTGTTACGGCTATACATGGTGAGGCCACATTTGGAGTACTGTATACAATTCTGGTCACACTGCTAGAAGAAGGAATGCTATTAAACTGGAAATGGAGTAAAAAATATTTACAAGGATGTTACTGAGGCTGGAGGGTTTGAGCTATGAGGAAAGGCTGGATTGGCTGTACTTTTTTCCCATGGAGCATGGGAGATTAAGGGGCAACCTTGAACCTTATACAGGTTTATAAAATCATGAGAGGCAAAAATAAGGTGAATAGCCAAGGTATTTTCCCCAGGATAGGGGAGTCTAAAACTAGAGGGTATGGGTTTAAGCTGAACAGGGAAAAATTTAAAAGGGCCCAAGCACCAACATTTTCACAGAGAGTGGACCATATATGGAACAAGCTGCCAGAGGAAGTGGTAGAGTTAAATACAATTACAACATTTAAAATACATTTGGACAGGTACATGGATAGGAAAGGTTTAAGGGATATGGACCAAATGCAAGCAAATAGGACTGATTCAGTTTAGGAAGCCTGGACAGGAGATAGACAAGTTGGGCTGAAGGACCTGTTCCTATGCTGTATGGCTCTATCACAGAGCTCGCGCAGGTACTGTGTACTCAGTGGTCTATTGTCTGCTGTGTGATTCGCTGATGCTTAGGCTGCTCTTTACCTTCTCCAGGGCTCCTTGGCTGATCGTCTGTGTTGGCAGGATCAGAGTGGCATCTCCTGAATGGACACCTGCATCTTCCACGTGTTCAGTGATGGCATGAGCTAGGACCTGGCAAGGGGGGCACAAACATATCCTACAATTAGCCAGCAATGGTCAGCCAACAACAACTGGAGCTGCTTTGGAACCTACAAGTTCTGCAAGCTTTTCCATCAATTTGAGAAGAACACCACGCCCAAATCCCTCGCCCAAAACAGGAAAGACCCAGGCTGGGAAAAGATAGGTAAGGAAATCAGGTCTTCTGGGCAAGGAATGCACCTGATGGAATGACACACTCCTGAACACGTGGCCTCACACAGCAATGCAAATAAGGAATAAGAAAAAAGATTCACATTTATCTAGCACCTTTCACAACGCCAAATGCTTTAGAGCCAATGAAGTATTTTCAAATTATTTCTTTACCAAGTACTGCCTTTGCCATGATCGAGGAAATTCAAATGGAGCACAGCAAGTACCCATAAATAACACTGTGATAATGAGCAGCTATCGTATCAGTTTCGGTAATGTTGATTGATGGTTAAATACTGACCAGGGCATCTACTTGGCAATAAAATAATGTGCAGTGGGCATGGAATACATGCTGAGGGGGCAGGCACGGCCTCAGTTTAACATCTTGGGGATCTCCAAATCTCTGGCAGAATTACAGGGTCATTAATGGGAGCCCAAAGGTTCATGACAGGTCACTGTACAGCAATCTGGTGAAACCGACAACTGCTCTAGATCTCCCTCAAACATCCCTCAACCATCCTTGGTCTTTCTGAAACACCTCTCAACCATCTGTGATCACCCTCAAATGCCCTTCACCTGTCCTCAAATTCCCTCAAATGTTTATTTGCATCAAACGACAGCTACTTTCCCTTTGGAAGCACCAATAGCCTCTGTTTCCAACCAAGCACCACCACCATCCCCAGCTCCACCCCCACCACAATACGAGCAGCGAGTTCCAGTTTCACTGTGTGCAACAAACACTCTTTCTCACATTCACCCCTGTCCAAAGCCCTGAATCTGCAACCACTATTCCATGTACCATCAGCTAATGGGAACAGCTCTCCTTTATCTACTGTGTCCAAAAATCAGTCATAACCTTGTTTCCCTATTAATTTGTCTTCAACCCTATTTGTTCCAAAGAGAACAAAACCACTTCATCAACCAAACCTTGTGGCTAAAATATCTCATCCCCATAGCCAATGTGATATTTCCTCTGCACTCTCTCTAGGACCGTCACATTCTCCCTGAAGTGTGATGACCAGAAATAGAAGCAATACTCTAGTTGTGATCTAATAAGAGATTTAGAAAGGATAGGCATAACTTCCCAGTTTTTGTACTCAATACCTCTATTAATAAAGTCCAAGATCCCACATCCTTTGCTAATCACTCTCTCAATATGTCCTTTGCCTTCACAGATTGATGCACATGTACACCAGGTCCCCCTGCCCCTGCTCACTTTCTGGAACTATGTCATTCAGTCTCTATCATCACTCCTTCATCCTTCTGGCATGACGCCTCACACTTCTCTGATCAAACTGTAACAGGCAGCCAATTTTGCTAGCCTATCAATATCCTGTTGCATTGATTGGCCTTTTCAGTAAATAAACCTGCAGACGGGATCTCCTTCAGCCCAATGCTCTTACTGACTTCAGGAGTCCTCAGCGTAGGCCGGTGGTGACACCTCCCATTAAGACGCCCTTATAGTTTTTGAGCTGCCTCAGCATACCCTCCCTCTTCCACTGGGCCTGCCGAGGCTGCAGAATGTCTGCTCTCTGATGTGCCCACAGTCCCGGCATCTGGTTTCTCATCTTGGATAGTATGGTGAGCACAGCGAGAGCCTCCAGAGGATTTCACCCCCATGTCCGTGGATCATTGAACGGACCAGTTTTAGAACAACAGGTCACAATGTAGCAATGGTATAGCTACAGTGTCTGGTTTTACAGCATGTGCACATGAACAAGCTTCTGTACAGTTATGACATGACAAAGACATCTCAGACATGGGGCTAACCCATTGAGTTCGGAACACAAACTGAAGCTTGGCTTACCTTTCCCTCCTTGGAGACTGCATCAACCTCAACCTCCCGTGCTCCTTCAACAAATTTGGTGAGGACAACTGGATGTTCCTGCAGCCAATAAAAAATATGGTTCAGTTTCAGTCCAGTCACATTTACTTCAGAGATTCCAAACATGTGTGTTTATCATCAGGATTGGCTCTTAAGTGCATTGATTAGGATGGTCAACGATGACTGCACAATATTGAGCACTCTTCACAACTCCTCAAATACTAAAGCAGTTCATGTCTAAATACAGCAAAGTCTGGGCAATATCCAGGCTCAGGCTCACAAGTGGAAAGTAACATTTGTGCTACACAAACACCGGACTATGACCATCTCAAACCAGAGACAATATAACCAACTCCCATTGATATTCAATGATGTTACCATCACTGAATTTCTCCACTAGAAACATCCTAGAGGTTACCATTGACTAGAAAATCAACTGGACTCGTCACATAAATACAGCAGCTACAAGAGCAGTTCAGAGGCTAGGAATCCTGCAGCAAGTAACTCACCACCTGATTCCCCAAAGCCTACCTACTATGTACAAGGCACAAGTCAGAAGCGTGATGGAACTCTCCTCACTTGCCTGGATGGGTGCAGCTCCAACAACACTCACGAAGCTTGACGCCATCCATGACAAAGCAGCCCTCTTGGCCAACACTCTCCAAATCAGGGAAAGCAGCTCTCACTAGCTATCTGCTTGATTCCCCAAAGCGTTTCCCACATTTTAGTGAGATCATCTCTCATTTTCTATACTCTAGACAGCTGGACTCAAAGCTCTTGTCCTCGGACAGCACACGCATTCCCACGCAACGGGTTTCATTGCAGCCTCACTCATTAGCTATAGAGACAGAAACAGTGCAAGGTATTCCAGATGTAATCTCACTACAGGACTGCACATCTACAAGTCTTCCTGACTCTTGTACTATAAGCTCATGTTGTTTGACTTTCTAGTTCCTGACTTCACCTGCAAGTTAATTTCCTGTTAATCTTGTAGAAGGGCCTCCATATGCCTCTGTACATTTCTCACGATTTAAATGAAAGTTTAATGTGTATTTGATGTCTGTACCACCAGCTATTCTCCACCTGTGCTTATCTCTCGTGACAGTAGATCAGTTTCCCTAGGTAAGTAAAGTTGATAAAAACTTTGCAGTCCATCCAAATAGAACAAGATGAGAAATTACTTACTAAACGATGGTCTCACAACAAACAGTGTACTTGCAGCAGAACAGGCCTAGTCAGACAGCCTGAAATGAACGTACCTGAGAGACACGAGCTGCCTCGGCAAGGAATTTCTTCATCTCTGTTGCGTCATGAGCCACGTTCATCGCTGAACCACTGAGGGAGACCAGACAAAAGTGTATGACTTTTCAGCAGTGACTAGCTGTCAAACATTATTCACCTGATCAGCCAGAAATCCCCACCACCCACCCACACACAAGTTCAGCAAGACACACAGCCTGACACACACATGCACACAGACACACAAACCTAACCAGCCAGCCTGGGGAACCCATACAGCCAGCTTAGCTCCAACAACTCAGGAACCTTTATACTATCCAGGACAAAGCAGCCCGCTTTTATTGGCATCACATCCCCAAGCATTCACTCCCTCTACCATTGATGCTCAGTAGCAACACCTACAAGATACACTGCAGAAATTCACCAAAAGTCCTTACACAGCACCTTCTAAATCCGTGACTTCTACCATCAAGAAGGACAAGGACAGCAGATACATGGGAACACCATCACCTACATGGGCCCTTCCAAGCCGCTCACCATCCTGACGAGGAAATGTATTGTCATTCCACTGTCGCTCGGTCAAAATCCTGGAATTTACTCCCTAAGGGCATTGTAGGTCTACCTACAGCATATAAACTGCAGCAGTTCAAGAAGACAGCTCACCGTCACCTTGGAATCGTAGACTCATATAGTGCAGATGAAACCCTGCAGCCCATTAAGTCTGCACTGCCAAAAATACACACACAATCTACACTCGTCCCACTCTCCTGCACTAAGCCCATAGTCTTGAATGTTATGACATTTCACATGCTCATCCAAGTACTTTTTAAAGGTTGTGTGGTTTTCAGCCTCAACTACCCTTCCAGGCATTGTGCTCCAGTCCTCCCCACCTGTTCTGAAGAAGGATCACTGGATTCGAAATGACAGACGCACAGTCCACACAGATGCTGCCAGACCTGCTGAGTTCCTCCAGCAGCAATTTCTGTTTCCATTCCTCTTCAACCTTCTCTGCTCCAAAGAAAATGACCCCAGCTTATCCAGCCTCTCTTCATAGCTAAAGTACTCCATCCCAGGCAACATGGTACGAACTCTCCTCTGTGACCCCTCCAGTGCAATCACATCATTTCTGTTGTGTGGAGACCAGAACCACATAAAGTACTCTAGCTGTGGTCTAACAAAAGTCCTGTAAAGCTGCAATATAACCTCCTTGCTTTTATTATCTATGCCATGACTAATAAAAGCAAGTGCTCCGTATGCCTTTTTTAATCACCTTCAGGAATCTGTGGACAAGCACCCCAAGATTCCTCTGAGCTTCCAAGTCTCCTACCATTTATTGCGTGCTCCCTTATCTTGTTACTTCTTCCTAATGCATCTCCTTCTCAAGGGCAAGTAGGGACAAACATTAAATGCTGGCCTAACTAGCAAAGCCCACATCCCCATGAATAAAGAGAACTGATTCAGTCAGGTCAAGCCCCACATACTCAGCCACTCTACCACCCAACCTTCCCCACTAAGTAACGCTACCTCTGTCCTGCAATGGCTTGCAAATACACAACTGGCTCCAATGTCAAAACTTGACAGTTTCAGCAGACCAACCCACCCAACTGCTCACCCCCGCTGCCCTCACTATGAAAATTGGGAAAATGTCTTACTTAGGAATCTGGGTTGCACTTGTGTATTCAATACTGTATCAGAACCCTTCCATATTAGCTCAAGAAATGGCTGGAGGCACTGGGTACTGAAAAGGCTACAGGCCCTGACAACACCCCAGTAATAGTACTTCAGACCTGTGCTCCAGAATTGGCCACTCCCTGAGTTGAGCTGTTCTAGTACATCTACAACACTGGCATCTACCCAACAATGTGGAAAATTGCTCAGGTTTGCTAACTCCATTCAACCCATAAGCCATTCTGGCTTAGGAAAAGCAGAGTTTCATGTGGGACTCCTCACCCGCCCATAGCCAGTTAACAAAAATTAAAGACCTATTAAGGTCTATTCCCAAGTGCTATGTATTTCCCAATTAGCCTCTGGGACCCATAGGGCACCAGAAACTGGGCCAGTTGCCAGGAGACAGGTCCCAGATAGGGTTCAAGCCCTCTGCATGTGCCTGCCCTCAGCTATAGCCATTGTGACCCTCCCTCTCTCCCCATTACCCAAATAATAGGTTGTGGTTCCTTAACTGTTGGAGAGGCTCCTACTGTCCTCAAGAACTGATATCCCATGGCTAGCTTCAGTTGGAAAGTGAACCTGTTTTATCAATGAATAATTTGTGAAAAAAATCACAGCCAGGTGACTGATCCCCTCACACAGCAGATTCCCATTTGAGCCTGACATTGGAGTCCCCGACCCAAAAGGGCAAAACTGCGCCCCTGGTTGCAAGCTGAACAAGGTTAGAAAATAACTACTTCAGGGAACTTAACATTTGAATACATCAGCAGAAATAAAAAGCAGTAGAATTAGAATACAATTAGAATTAGAATTATTGCAAATGTAGTCACGAGTGCAGTGAGAAGTTTATTAGGTCGCCACTTACACTGCCATCTTAGGTACAAGGTACCTAGGTACAAAATCTTAGGAATAAACTAGAAAATAAATTTAAAAATTCCACATTACAGTCCTTCAAGCAGACCACGCCAGGCCTCGCCACCAGTCCATGCCGGGACCTCACCCCTAGGCCGTGCCAGGATTTAATTTCCAGTCCGCGCCAGCCTCATTTCTGCTATCCATCGAGTCCCTACTGTAAGCCTACTGCAGACATGCTCCAGACACCAAGCACCACTGCAGCCGATGGCCCATCGAGTCCCTGAGTCCAGGCTCCAGGCCTACCGAAATCAGGAGTCCTTGATCCAGACACTGCCATTGCTGCTGTCGACAACCCTCTGACACCTCTTCAGCTTCCCCACAACATCAGAAAATGAAGGAAAAGAGAAAAGAAAAAGACAGAAAAGGAGACAGAGAGAAAGAAGGATGCATGTGGCCTGGAGTATACATGCTCAGGAACCCTAGAACTCCTTACCATGGCACCATCTTGAGTAGCCCTGATAATAAATGAAGAATTAATAGTTGTAAGAACAACTCTCAGATCAGGAGATCAGTATGGATGGAAATTAAGAATAATAAGGATAAGAGACGGAGTTTCTTGGGGCCCAGCAGTCATTAGAGATGGAACATTGAACAAGAACTCATTGGCATGTGTAACAAAGATACTGTGACAGTCACAGAGGACTTTGAAATTCAAGCAGCATGGACAAATCAAATTGGCTATTTGGCAAAAACATTTATGAAATTTATTTACATTTTTCATCCAAAGTCTTCACATTCATCTAAACTTGTGCATCAAAAGCAAACTCAAAATGATGCACAGAGCATGAAAACACAAATTAGGAGCAGGAATAGGTCACTTGTACATAGAACCGTAGAAATGATACAGTGCAGAAAAGGTCCATTTGGCCCATCGTGTCCATGCCAACCCAGCGCCACCCAGATGCCCTTTCTAATTGCATCATCCTGCACACAGCCCATAGCCCTGCAGCTTACAGCACTTAAGGTGCAGATCCATGTACTTTTTGAAAGAGTTTAGGATCTCTGCCTCAACATCAACTCAGGCAGCCAATTACAGATACTCACAACCTTCTGTGTAAAAATGTTTTCCTCACATCGTCTCTAATTCTTCTTAGCTTGAATCTATGATCCCCGGCTTTTAAACTTTCTGCCAAGGGAAACAGGTTTTCCCTGTCTAACTCAACCCCTCACAATCTTGTATACCTCAATCCTGTCACCCTTTGCCTTCTCTGTCCAAGGAAAATAACCCCAACCTCTCCTCATAGGTACAATTCTTCAGCCCAGCACTTTCTCCATAGCAAGGACATCCTTCCTCTAATGTGGTGGTCAGAAATGCATGTAATACTCCAGTTGTGGCCTCACCAGGATATTACACAGTTTCATCATTATATCCCTATTTTTGTATTCTATATCTCAGTCAATGAAAGACAGTATTCCCAACGTGTTCTTTACAACTTTAAGTAGCTGTACTGCTACCTTTAGGGACCCATGCACTTGCACACCAAAATCTCTTACTTCATCTACCCCTCTCAGTATATTCCCATTTATTGTGTATTCCCTTTTACTATTTGACCTCCTAAATGCATTCCAGCACACTTATCAGAGTTGAACTCCATCTGCTACTTTCCTGCCCATTCCACCATCAGATCTATACCATTTTAGAACTCACAATTAACCGCTACACTATCCATTATATAGCCAATTTCTGTGTCGTCTGCAAATTTCTCAATTGTGCATCCCCATGTTCAAGTCCGAATTGTTAATGTAAAAATAAACAGCAGGGGTCCCAACACCAGGCCCTGCAGAACACCACTTGAAACAATTTTCCATTTGCAAGGGCAGCCATTAACCATAGCCTTTTGTTCCACGATACCAAGCCAACTTTGGATCTAATTCAATACATTACAATTGGGCCTTTGTTTTTTTTGACCAATCGCTCATGTGGGACCTTGTCAAATGCCTTCCTGAAATCAATGTAGACAACATCCACTGCATTTTCCTCATCAATCCTCCTTGTCACTTCCTCAAAAAATTAAATCAAATTTGTAAGGCATGACCTTCCGTTAACAAAGCCATGCTGACTATCCCTGACTAGTCCCTGCCTTTCTAAGTGACAGTTTACCTGATCTCGCAGGATTGATCCTAACAAGTTGCCCACCACCGAAGTAACACTAACCAGCCTATGATAACAAGGTGTAGAGCTGGATGAACACAGCAGGCCAAGCAGCATCATAGGAGCAGGAAGGCTGACGTTTCGGGCCTAGACCCTTCATCAGAAAAATCTTTCTGATGAAGGGTCTAGGCCCG